GTGCCTTGAGAAATTTTTTGACACATGTAATATCGGCGTAATAACGGCGCGGCGCGGCGCGGCGCGGCGTTCCGCGTTCGTAATTAGAATAGCGCGTTACTTTCCATTCTTGATTGAAAGTGTACGTAATTATGTATTAATATTCATGGACCGTACATGCTTCGTACGTACGGTATCTTTGTTTTACATATCGCTCAATCTTTATTTGATTCTGGTTAAGCACGTTAATTACAACTGCTTAATATAATGAGCAAACTGCAATAAAATTAAATGACAGGCAGAAGCAAAATAATTAGCGGTGAACAGTTGAACACACGTACAGGAGGGTAACACGTGCGACACAGAAACGCGTGCGCGCGAGACTTTCCTGTACATACATCCTTTTGTTGTGCACATCCACGATTCATAAATTATGAGCACGTATTTAAAATTTATTTAGATAAATAACTGTTACATTTTCTAGATTCTTAACTTTGACATTCGTTGAAAGCATCGGTTCTTAAATCTTTCAAGTCCCCCTCACGCGTGATACATATATTTTTAGCATTTTGATTATTTTGAATAGAGAGTTTGCTTTAAGCTAGAAATATGTTGTCTACATAATATGTGATTTCTAAAACTGTTACAACGTTCTATTTCTTTGAGTACGCATTAAGGTTATTGAAATTATTTTAAATAAGTTTCAAACTATAATTATAATTATTAATTATAGATTAGAATTTGCTTTTAATATCCGTTAAATTAATAATTTTTTACTAACACGTTTGTAATTATTTTTTGCACTACAACAGTATTGTAGATGAGTGTAGAGTGTAGATGTTTAATTATATTGCACGAAAATAATTTTTAACAGTAAATATGTAACGCAAAAATAGGTTACATATACGTATATTTCATCATCATTTAATATAGCCCACACAGAGCGATTTGACGTTTATTACTCTCTTTATTACTCTTTTAATTAATTCAATAATTATAGATTTGCGAATAGTGAATAGTGAATAGGATTATGGGTAAATTGTGGAAAATGAATTTGAAAATTACTCCAACACTGTTATGAGATGATATTATACAGATTAACAATAAGAATGAAATGTCGATTCGTACACGAAGCACTCGATAACAATAATTGTTCATGAAATAACCATCGCGATGGACATTGCTTAGGAGATACATCCTTTCTCCATTTCTGACTTCGATGAACGAGTGAAAGAAAAAATTATTACGTTGTTCCTTGCAATAATTCACTCACACGTTTCTCATTTCAGAAGATTCTCTCACATTACGAATTTATTTCTACATTTCTTTCATTTCGCAGTATTTTCGTATTGACACCCATACTTGCATTCACACATTTATCTTTTAACTCTTTATTACATGATATTTAATTTTAACGTGATTTATTGTAGAAAGAGATTTATGTGAAAAATGAGAGACATGACGAATATCTGCAAATTTTTATTTGAAACGAAACAAGTGTATTTCCACGTAGGTATATAATTATAATACAACGTGTATGTATTCTTTTAAGTGAGATGATGAAATAAATGACATTATTGTCTCGAGAGTATATCAAATACCCATAATAAGGCATGATTTTAATTGTTTATTATGTTTGTTATCATGTAAACGGTTATAATAGTACAATCAATTATGTTTCCAGCGCCAACAGTCGGCTGTGGTGTTACGATACACAGGCATCGTTCCGAGTGTTCCGACGGATATCCTCGACCGGCGGCGGAGCGGTGAAAGAACGCGTAAATCGTAAGTCACTTTATTTTCACTTGTTTTTACTTTCTGCACTAATTCTGTTGTTTAAAATTTGAATTTTAAAGCCGAAAAATTAAGTCTATTTTACGCAAAATTATTGCCTTTTTCACATAAATTATATTTCTATCGATTTTCTAACAATTTAGGTATAATAAGTTACATTGAGAACTGATATTTATCACGTATTCTGATGCTGATTTTTCGTAATATATTATTATAAATATAAAACAAAACTCTGACACAGATATTTTATTCGTTATACCTTACATATTCGAATATACAAAATAGAATTTCTTATAATCTTGATATCCAAGTTTCTATGGAAAAAGGCAATTATGCTTGCGTAAAGATATCCTTTTACTGAATTACACTTTTCTGACGTATTGATATCGCTTCATGTCACAGTACGTAAGTTTCTCATTATGTAAAACTTTCCGTGATGTGACTTTAATTTTGATGGGTAGAATGGTCTTTACTTCGCTGGAAAGTTCCTATTTCACAACTTGATTAGTCTTTCTTCTTGACTCCTTAATTACAAGCCGTATATTTATGGGCCCGTCTCGTTGCACGTAAACTCCATTTTAGATGAACTATAATTTGCAATAAAATTCGCGTATCTACAGTATTCTACTATATAGGTATGTCAAATCGTATATAATATAATTGTAAATAACGACGACGAAGAATAGATTTTTCACTTTATTTACATTAAATTTGATCAATAATAATAATAATTATGTATATGTACATACACATGTACAACTAAATGTTTTACTGCACTTTTTATTTCTCAATTTCTGTTCATTTAAATTATGATTTCAAATTATATGCAACCATCTATGGTAATTGAATAAAAGCGTGTTACGAATAATAGTTATTTAATCACGCGGTATTGATCGCTGTAATATCAATTTGCGATTACTATCAGTTGATAGTCAACACGTAACAACTTGAGTGCTTTTTACATTCTACTAAAAAGCATATTTTTCTTTCTCGAGACTGATGAGGTTGAAATATGCATATAAATAAAATTTCGTAGGTTATAACGAAACGTAGATTATACCATTATAGTTATCGAGTTTTGTCAATATATTGCGCGTATCAAGTGCACAATTCTTATGTCCATAAAAATAGAACTTGTTTAATTTTCACGGATACGATTTTGACTTAAAGTATAATATTTACATTTTTCGGCACATATAAGATAAAAAATTGTATAAAATTCGGCTACAAAAAATTTTATCGCGAATCATAGATCGTTTAAAGTAGGTTTAACGTTGGCGAGAAGTGGTGCGTCCGATCGGAGTGTATCGGAGTAGTGATCGCGCACACGACGTGCGACGTTTGATTCGTTCGGCGCGACTCAAATGCAGTTTTTTCGAAGCTTCGTGTTCATCTCGCCTTCGCCCAGTAGGTCCCCTATAAATACCAGAAATGCGCGTTTGCCCCGAAGGCGTTTTCGGCTGAAGAGTCCGGAGGACGGAGCAACCGTAAAGGTCTGGCACGCTAATTTATAGCCGACCGCCGCAATACCGGTAATCTAATTAGTTTAATGACCAAAAAATATTTCCCGAGTCTTTCTTAATCCGAGACAGGTAGCATCGACTTGGTCTAAACCTAAACTCAGCGAACGCGTTCAATGTCAAAGCTTATCCGCGAAAGTATGTGTCTTGTGAAAGTTCTTTCGGCTTCTAAACGGACGAAAAGGAAACTTGTCAGTCTGATACGATTCACGTGTCATTTCGGCGATAATATTTTGCGACACGCCACAAAAGAAAGTTTTTAACCCTAGAATATTAATCATTAGTTTGCCGGATGCTAATGATGCCGATGATAAATTGTATGTTTTGAGAAAATATCGCGCGATCGTGATATATATACATGCCAAGCATTTTTTCTAACAACTTTTGTGCTATTTCTAATTTAAATTTTTTTGAAATGAACTGTTGAAATTTCGAAAAAATATTAAAAAATTATTAGCGCACATTTTTAATAACAATTTAATAACATTTTACGTGACACTTGATAATAATAACACACATTTTATTTGTTTTTATGTTTTACAAATTAAATATATAAACTTTATGCTAAGGAAAGAAGCTATATAATACGCTTATTGTTAGACGCTTTAAGCTCGGAGTTAAGCCACCGTAAATACAAGGAAAGGTGGAAAAATTAATATAAAAGATACGTATATAAATTTTGGTTGCAATTATCGTTAATACTTGATTGTTCGGATAAACGATAGGTATACTTTGGGCGGATACATTCGAGCGGGTTGTTTGAAAGAGCATACACACTCTGGTGAGTCAAGTGCGGTTACAATTTCGCGCGACAGTAGGCCTCTCTTGATCCGTCCTATACCTTGACCGGTTGTTTCGTTATTGTCATTTAGCTCGCGCGGGTTGTTTCGCAAGGCGTTTTTGCTCGCGTGTCCGAAATTCCGCGCACCCTGCTTCGCCGTCGCGTCGCGTCGTCGCGAAGACCGACCGGCACGCGAAACCAGATGCGTCATCGCGAAACGGATAATTACGTCGCAGTCGATAAAGGGTGACCACTTCCTCGAAACCTCCAATCATATTGTCGTCGCGTACCGTGGACTTGTCAAAGGCGACCAGCTGATGTAATACGCGTCACCACGAGAGCCTAGCGTATACGTGTCGGTGCGCGCGTAAAGAAAGCACCGGATGTGCGAGAGCCCGGAGAGCCGACGTTCTTCCTACTGTCTTCGTACTGTCGTCGATACGCCGCGCCGCGCACTCGCCACGTTGTCATATTTTGTCGATCCTCTCAATTGGCGACGACAACTACACGCCGATATATACTCATCCTTTCGGGAGGAACTTGACGAGCGCACCTGTGAGACGCGCGCGTCAAGTTCCTTCCGTTCTTTCGTGTCCGAGCCAAGCCGACGCGAGACACACGAGTTTCCACTTGGGACGTCGGGACTCGCTTTACTTTGGGAGCGCGATTACAAAGAAAGCGCGTTACAACGTACACGCGTAATTAGCCGAATACGCGTGTTGTAATTATCGCCCGCACGGAAGAGAGGGTCGCTGCGTCAATTGCGATGGGTATTAACGACCGGGAAACTGTGGTTGCGCGAACGCGTGTTGCGACTCGCCAAGAGAGGCATAAAAAAGAAACTATTACGAGCGCGAAATCGCGTGTGAACGTGCCGTCGCTTCGCGGACGCCGCGTCGCCGTCGCCGTCGTCGAGAAAAGCTCGATTAAATCTGCAGAAGAATCGCAACGCCTGCCAAGGTCCACTTGGTGGGCTTGTCGCGGGTCTTCAAATTGAACGTCCAGACGTACGTAGGACCGCGCGTTCTGGTCCTGTAGACCGGACATTCGTACACGTTCTTCGTCTCCTGCTTGTCCTGCGTGATCGCCTTCACGAACACGACCGGCATCAGAAACAATAGCTCCTTCAATCGCGAATCCGCGATGACGCCGCTCGCGACCTCCCATCGCGCACCCTCCATGTACAAACCATTGATGTAGACGCCCTCGCGCGGCGGCACCCTGATCAGCAAAGCTCGTATTATCGCGTTTATCTCCACTGTTAACCCTTTCGAGGACACATATCACATTCTCCCCCCCCCCCCCCCCAGAAAAATTTATTATATCGAACATTTTGGTAACCTGTTGTTTACTACGATTTGCTACGTGAAAGCAATTTAGGGTACATGCGATAAAAGTCAAAAAGTTGTTTGAAATTTGGTATAATCGAAAAATGATGCCCGTCCTGAAAGGGTTAATCTCACGTCGCCAAGTGCCGAGTCTCTCTTACGTAAGTTCCTCTTTCTGCTTTCTGGTTACATCGCAATGCAGGCACATTTTGTCCAAGGGCCACTCGTTTTTACGGGCGGTTTGCTGCATGATGGCGGTAAGTAAGGACTGCGGATTGAAAAAACCACCCAGCCAGATCGACGATGGCAACTGTCGAAAGATGCGCACCACGAGAAATTATAGAGTGACCACAGTTGAGAAAGAAAGGAAGTCAAATTTTAACGCAAAGTAAATGACTAACGTTTGTCAAGTCACTTTTTTCGACACTTGGAGCGTGACAAAATTCAAATTCTCTTTCCCACGCTTGAGAGCAAAGTATACGCTGACTTAATCTAATTTTTCTTTGTATATAGCATTTTGTCTCCTCGCATTATCGCGTTCGCGGATTGTAATTTTTTTTACTCACATTAAAATCTACCGTCCAATTCGATAGTTCGGTTATTCGATTGAACAGGTCCGCGAACCAACTCGACAATCCGAGAGTGGAGGGATAGGCGCACTTGGCCCAGGATGGTGGTACAGACTCCATAAACAGGTGATTTTGCAGATCTTCCATATCCGCGCTAATCGTAAGCTCGCCCTGAAATGGATCTTTAGATTTCTCGCATCACTATTCGATAATAATTTTATCACGCTACTCACTTTCAAACCGAGATCCAGTTCTCCCAGAGATCTTTTTAGTTCCTTGCATAGCGCGTTCATATGTTCGCATTCTTGGAGAGCGACTATAACGAAAGGAGTACGATCTTCCGTCTAGAAAATCAAATTATCTATTTGTTTTATTTATTACCGTAAAAAGTAAAGTTTAATGTTGACGTTTTGCCGTGTGAAGACAACATATGCGACAAAGAGAGATTAGACGGAATTGAAATTCGCACGTCTGCAGTAGCGATAAATCAAGCCAAGGACATAAAACGTAACGGCCGATATCAAAGAAAGTATACGTAGGAACACGTGCGACACTCTTGTGTTAAATGTGACCCTGCGATATATTCCAATGATGTAATTGACAGTTATTATTACATCGTAATTTTGTCGCAGTTTGAATATATAAAATTGTTAACGATTTTATAATTATAATGATTGCTAGATCTGTTATCCGTAGAATATTTTAATATCACGTTTACTCCGATGTCTCTTAGCTAGCCTTGAAATTTAGTAATTTCAATAGATTATTTTTATAACGGTAATTTGGATATCCAATAATGGTCCGACATTAACCTTGCTCATCAATTCTTGTATATTAAACTCCTCGGGAAGCTTGTCCAGTATATCCTCTATTATAGTTTTCACCTTGTCCTCTTTCGATAACACTCCGGCTGCTGTGTCGACACTGTCCCGCGGTTGCATCCCCCAGATTGTTTTAAACAAGTTCTCCGCCGTGCTTGTGAGGAACCCTGTACAAACAAGTTTGAGTGAAAATTTGTTGCGTTTTAACGCGAACGTAAATCAAGGAAGAGTGACGGATTAACGATCAAATTAATTGAGAAATCTCACCAATCTCCGCGTTCGAGTGAAGTCCGTATAAAACAGGGCTCTCCGGCGGCAAATAATCTTCCACGTACTGATGATAGCCCGCATAATCGGTACTGGGTGGCACCGGAAAACCCGGAGCGAGATATAATTCACCTTCAACCAGCTCTGGTTGCAAGTACTCTAGGAGATATGTTCGACATAGTCTTCTGTCCCAATCGTCGGTTATATGACCGCCATACATGATTTCGCCGAATAAATAGCGTAAATCTTCCCATGGTACTTTAGTATTACCCTCGAGATAATTCAACAATACCGATGCACTGATGGTCAAATCGCCAACATTGAAGGGATATAACTATGTGTAAGGGATGTTAACAAGATTTAGTAATCGAACTGTGGAAAATAAATATTTATTAAGAGGCACGATGTGGCCTTGTTCTTGACGTATGTAACTTGAAATATGTTTTCATATACTTAAAACTTTCTTATCTAATTGTAAGCTTTATAATTTTTATGTAAAATCAATATTTTATATTAGTTTAAACTTTTAAAACTTTCTGAAATATACATATATACATGGCATATGTCTAAAAGCGTAGAATTTTGTCGCAAATTACAGATGATCTAAAATAAATTTAAAAATGCCAAGTCGAGAATTTGTAAAAATTTAAAATGCCAACCCTGTTCCATCCTTGTGCCCCGAATTTTCTACGCTCTGCCACAGCAGCGTGATAATAACAGAGGGTGAAGAGAATAGCTTTGAACTCGGTCTCCTTGGCGCAAGATTCCAATGTATCCTGGTTAAAGTTGTCCAAGGCTTTGTGAATGTTGGCGCGCATACCCGTTGGCGGTTCGTTGGTGATTTTTATGGCCGATTCTAGTATGCCCTGTCGTTTTGATTATATCAAAATAGAATACAAAACGTTGTTGGGAAAATTTGATAAAATTATTGTGAAGAACAAACTCAGAAAAGTGCAACACAGGTTCAGGTATATATATATATATATATATATATTTATATTATTATTATTTCGAATGAATTGTGAATAAAAAAAGTCGTCTTTTGGGCAATTTTATAGTCTCGCGTATTTGAGGGATTTTGCTTTTACTTGTGGTATTATTGACTCGTGAGGGTCAGGGCTTGGTTCTGCGCTAATATAGAGCCGATAATTTTCGTGCGGCTCTTCGGACAGTTGTTCTATCTTCTTTTCCAGATTTGGCAACCAGTTCCTCACTAGATGAACATTCTGGAGTATAACCCAGTGGCCCTCGCGCGCTGAAATTTCTATCGTTTCCTCCGCGATAGATTCTTGACCTTGTCCTAACGATATATTGTGAAAATTTTGCGCGTCGAATGTGAAGCCGAGCTGTTTACCAAGTTTCTCGACATCCTACATGAAAGCATTATTCCGTTTTTAATTTGTTATTAATCGCTTAGTAATGTTCAAAACTGTGTATCGTTACATCGGGCAATATTAAATTATTCCATTAAATTAATCCATTTTATAAACTGAATACTTGAATATGCGATTAAAATTAAATATCTAACGTTTTTTCAAAGGAAACGTACTTTTAGAGGATCAACTCCTGGAGACAAAATAAAAAATACCGGCGTGCTCGCGCTCGTTTCTTCGTACGATTTTTCAAAAGGTTGCATTCGAAACTGTATAAATTTTGCTCCCAATTTCTCTTCCACGAAGTACCTATGTTCGTCAGAAATATGTTAATGGTTGAAGAATTAGAGGGAAGTAAAAGAGTAAATCGCGGCAAAGTTAGATGTTTGTTTCAAAATCACATTCTAGCAAATTACCGTATAGCGTAAATCATTCGATCTAATCTCACGCATCTCATTATGCAAAGTCTCTGAAAGGCCGTTTTATTTTTCCAGTCCTGAGGAAATTTTTCTCTCTCAGGCGTTTCCGATTCGACGAATTTTTTCCACCTTTTCGCGGCCCCATCTATATCGCGGTCTAAATTACGAAAATTTTCCATTCCGCTCAGATACTTGATGCCGCCCCAGCTAACGTTACTCAGGAAATCCACCGGACTTGTGAGGTCCGATAAATAAGGGAATCGCAAGAGAAAGTCCACTTCAAATTGATCTATTTCTTTCATTTGTGCCAGAATCTACGTCGTATATATAATATTTCTTTACAATATTTGTATTATGTATGTAAATAATTGAAAAATATTGGATCACTCCATAAATAACAATCTTTCCTAGAATATATGGCCTCTTAATAAAGATTTACAAGAATTAGAAATGCAAAAAATAATCTCAAGACATTAAAGTTATACATAATGCAAACAGCTTAAGAGGTTGTTCTATAGAAATTATCTAGAAAAAAATGTAATCGTAAAATATAAGATATATTGTGAGAAAAGTAAACGCGAAAAATTTCGTAAGATCCATTTTATGTATTTTGACAAAAGAAATGGAATCCTGTCGTCTACTCGTATTATTTATGAGATGGCCCAGTACCTGAAGAGTCAGCTGGCACAAAAATATGAGCTTGTCGTTCTCAAACAATCCTCTGCTGGTATAGGTAAAAACCAAGTACGTAACACTATCGATCAAATTGGCGACGCGTTTACTGAGCACATCTACCGGCTCCGCAAATTTAATAGCGTTTTGAAAGACCGTGTTGAATGCCTTGAGAGAAAACTGATACAGCATGTTGATCTTGTTGAGATCGTTAAGAATGAAGTAGAGGAGGCTGGCTCTGGACGCCACCGGCCGGTAGGATTCTCGCGCCTCGTCTATCTTTGCGGCAGTCATCTTCGCCTCGATCGCCTTCGCCTCGATTTCGCTGGCAGTCTTCTTCGTAGTTTCAAGGTTCTCCACAAGAGCGACGTCGCTCAAGATATCGGGACCCGCTGTCGCCAATCTCAGTACAAGAAAAACAATTAGAGTAATATATTTATGTAAATGTTTAATTAAAAGAAATCTTTTTGTTTGCTCTTTCTTTCTATATTTTTTTTCTTCGCGCTAGACTAATCAAATGTGAGACAAGCGAATAAATTTTCTTATCAAGTCGAATTGCGAACAATTAAAGTAAATAATTAAACAGTGCAGAATGATTGCACAATATATTGAATTGAGAATTCGGCTTTTGAATAAGATGATATTTCTTCATAAAGTTAATCGGGGAGGGGGGGGGGTGGTAAAGGAGAAACGTTGCGTTATTTCAAACATTCTTGTTTCTTTTTTCTTTATTTACGTACCTATGCAACAGATCGTCTTCCAATAGTTTCAGCGTGATCTTGAACGTATTCTGCTGAGTCGTGAGTTCGGCTTTCCTCGACTCCAAATCAGGACGCTCCGCTTTCACGACGGCGCCTAATAGCTGTTCCTCTAAACCGTCTTTCGTAACCGTAAAATTGATGAGTGTAGTCTGAGCTTGCATCTCCGGCTTATAGTGAGGATTTGCCAGTTTTGTTTGTAAGATCAGACGGAAGCGCGGATCGTAATCCACCTCTTTGTCTCCCACCTTGATCGCCCTTTGTTAGCATCAATTTTGCAAGGTCAATTTGACGTCAAGTAGTCCATTTACTGACGAAAAAAAAATAGAAAATATGCCAATGTGTACCTTCCCTTCTTTATTAAAACTCGGCCTAGGATTGGATCTAGAACGGCATCGACCGTTTCCATGATACTTTCCAGTAACACTATCTCTCCATTAGCAATTGCGTGTTCGATTTTGTCGAGATAATTCTTTTGAGTTAGACGTAACACTATCAAATCCTCTCCATATTTGTTCTTGATCCATTTAATTCCTTGTAATTGTGGATCAATCATTAATGGCCATCTGGACGAATTTGTGAGTATTGTGGCGTTCTCTGAGGACATTCTGTCTGTGGGTAAACCTATATAAAGATATGTTTAATTTTTAATTATAAACGAGCCGAAAAAATTTACTCCGATTTTTATTAATTCATTCGCGAGAAATCATTGCTTTGTTGATTATACCATGATCTAATACTGCATCTACTTGTATAATCGATATTACAATATGATAGGGATTTTCGTTAAATGCGTCTCTTACCTTCGTTATTCCATTGGGCGATTTTTGCATCGTCAGTCATTAAAGACAACGGATCCAAGTCTGGCGTGTATGGTATTGGCACTTGCAAATTGTTGAGAAACGGTAACCAATATAAATTCATAAGATCCATTCTATATTTCTTCGTAAAACATCCCATGTAAGAAATGAATGCCGTGACGAGCAATACGTTTCCCGGTAAAGTAATTCCGGATTTCCTTAGTCTGTTTTGCCATATTATAAACGCGTTTAGAAACTGGCTCAGCACGTGTTACTGACATTATCTCGATAAAATAAACTTATTACATTAAAATAAAACTAATTGAATTAACAAATGTATAGAATATACTAGGTTCAAATAAATATCGAGTAAATCATATAAATAATAGAATAAACTGAATTAATTATTATAGAAAGAGCATACACATATCACACAATTTATATAATTAACTTGATATTTGTTTAACTGACCGTCGCTTTTGTTTATTCAAATAGGTTTTTTTTTCGAATTTACAGTTTTGTATTGAGGCAAACCTACGTACAGTTGTACGGTCTCAGCCCAACGAATATTTTCAGATGCGAGACCATTTATCAATCGATTTGCTAGATCTATAATGAATGCAGTCGCGTCCGCTTCGTCTTGACATTTTTGTTTCTCAGTTAAAGCCACGTTCATTTTTTCGCTCAGAATGTCTAACACTTTCTGAAGCTCCTGTGTACGCAACGAAAAAGCATCGTTTCATTCTGATAAAGTTACATAAAAAACAGAAGCGATAACGCTAATGCCTATAATATCCGAAGCGAGCTTACCGCTAAACGGTTTCTCAGAGAATTCAATTTTTCCATAGCGACCCTCAATTCGGCGTTTGCCTGAGCAAGCGCTGCTCTCAAAGGCTTTACATTCTCATTGATGTAATGAAACACCATGATATTTTTCACCCAGCTACAAAGTCCCGCTGCCGCTTGCGATTTTGAATATACAAATTCCGGATCGAAATCTAATCATATACGTGTTATTTTAACATTATTTACTTTCTATAAAACATATTATGACTTTTACATGTTCTCTATGGTTTTCACATATACAGATATATTTTCATATTAGACATTTTATTTGACAAAAAAAAATATCCGTTCATGCTAATGTCAGACTTGACAATAAAATTACCTTTATTGTTGATATACGGCTGAATCGCCTTTACGACTTCCGGGTGTATATTTTCTTTATCATAATTACGTAATTCTGACAGAAATCCATCAATAGATCCCATTATTACTCTGCAAGCTTTCCAAGTTCTGTCTTTCGGAATTTTTCCTCTCGGCGAAAATAGAACGAGCACAGCCTGAGCGACCATAAGCACGGCATCCGGCGGAGATCCGAAAGACTTCAATTCGGTCAAGTTGTTCTGCAATAATGTAGACATTATTCGCTCTATTCAACTGAAATATATTTCAATTTAGAACAAAGAGACATGTCTATATGAAATGCCTCGGATTTGGCATTATACCTTCAAAATTTGTCTCGTGTTATTACATTAATTTTATTTTCATTTTTCTCGAAATTTATATCATGAAATTTAGTACGTTTGTGTATTTTCTACTGTTTAATTATAATATAAATCACAAAGTCGAAAAGTTAACCTTATTCAAAGTATCAAGCGCAGCTTCGGCCTGTCTCACTGCTGGCTCCGCACGGGCCAAGTCTTCGTCACAACGTTTTTGGTTTTCCAATACTACCTCCTTGATTTCCGCCACTTTTGCCTCTTCCCCAGTTACTACAATTCCGTTGTGTTATTTCGACATCACTGTTCATAGTTTTCAAATATCTTATCAATATCTTACCAATAGCCTTTTCTGCCTCCGCTTTTGCATTTTCCGCACGTACTTCGGCCAATATCTTATCAGCTATCTCATTTTTTTTCTTCAATTCGATCTCTTGAGCCGTTAGAATAATCTTTAATTTGTCAGCCTATACTTTGCGAAAAAATAATTTAGAGGATGGATATATAAAATGTTTGCAATATAACACGACAAGCATATTTGCTAATTGACTGCTATACCTATATTCGATCATTTCTATAATATGTTTGATCTGACGAGAGATAAACTATTAGACGCTACCTGAATGGCACAGGACTCGAGTTTCACCAGTCCATCGGTGAGACGCGAGATCATCGCTTCCAAATCATGTGATTTTTCTGTTAACAACTTGGAGTATAAAGAGATTTGCTCAAGGAATGACTTGGGTGTCGTGTAATTGTATCTTCTTTCATTTTGCAAATATATCGCGGATACATCGTTGACACTCGTGTGAACGAAAGACATGAAGAGCGACACGGAAGCTCGATATTCGGCTGGCAACTCTTTTAACTCCTGATATAAAGATAGAGAGTTGCGGATTAGTTAAAGTGTTCTTTAACAAAACAGAATAGAATAACATTCCAATTTGGCATTATAAGAATAGTAACCAATGAATTATAGTTATCTTGAATTTCTTCAACTATTTTCAGTAACATATTTCCAAAATCATATTGTTTTCTTTAATTTTAGCAAAAAATTAGTAACCAGAATAAATTAATAAAAAGATATATGTATATGTTTTACTTGAGATCTCTAATCATGTTCAAATCAATTTTAATAATTTTGTAATTGTTGAGAGATATAGAGTTTGTGGAAAACGTTATACCTCTAAAAACGTTGTCGACACAGACTCCAATGCTTTCTGCGGCCAGTCTTGAAACCAGTCGATCGCGGTGCAATTTACTATTGCGGGGAATTGTCTAGCCCTTTTTCGAAGGGTCGCTCCTACAGGAGAGAAGCACAGAACACACTTCAATTGTCTTCGTACGCGTTGGATAAAAAATTTCCAGCAATTCTCTTTGGTTTCAATTAATCCGGTTTGCTTAACCTGCATGAAGGATAACGATAGCACATGATAACAGCGAATAATTAATACACGATCCATCTCTAAATATTTAAGAAATCGAGCATTCAGATTTTAACCCGGAAAATAATGTAAAATAGAATATAACAAAATAGTAAAATGTTCTTCTGTTTAACTTTAGGTGCGCAAATAATACTTGCAATAACTAGATACCCCACTTCCGTACTATATCTGAATATAGAGATTATTCTGATAGCACTGGAATAGCGATACGTGTATTTTACCTCGTTACGCACGGCATTAATGATGTTCTCCACTTCTTCATCAGTAAACAGTTCCGTGATTTCTCCCGTCGCTAACATATCGTTCACCACAACTAAGAATTTTTCTTCCGCGACTTGAGAATCGCTCATTAAAAATGTAACACTGATACCCTTCACTCCAGCTTTCAGGTATAACACGGCTAAATCAGCTTTTAACTCGTTTAAGGAGTACTCTTTGCGCAACTGTATTTGAAACACCTATAATACGTACACGTCAACAAATTTCTTTTGATTTTAAATATGTCATTATAAATTTCTTTAATTACTTGTTAATTGTAACAACTAACGGGAAATAATTGACTCTTCCTTTTATTTCTTTATTTATCGTTTATACTTAATTAATTATAATTGCTACTTGCGCTCGCTGTGATTTATTGTATTCTATCAAATATCTATACCTTTTTTGATTGATTTGAAAAGTTGATTGAAAAGTGATTGAAAAGTAAAATTTAAGCATTGTACTTATGATGCCTGATAAAACGATCTTACTTACCTCCAACGAGGACACGAAAGAAGCTAAACGTGATAAAGATTGTTTACCGCTGCCACCTACACCCACCAGAAGCGCATTGCCCCTCGGTGCCTCCAAAATTCTGTTAATACGACACACGTGATACACAGCATCTTCGAACAACACTAGATTCATCGCGGACACCTATACCGAAGGAGTAGTATGAATTCGAGTTATATTATACGACTTGATCAATATTCAAGTATAAATTCGGTGCATTTATCGAAACATGAACATAGTCGGAATTATAAATAATTAGAATAGGAATGGTTTCTATCTTATTAAACTTTAAGAATAAAAACTTTAAAAATAAAATTTAAATTTTATAAACAGAAACAGTATAAATTTAATAGGGAAAAACTTTTATTTTATAACAAGCAATACCGTCCTGTTCACCAAGTATCATTGAACACTCAATATGTATTAATCTCAAAATATGTAGAGTTTTATTATATAACATATATGGTATATATAAAACAGTGTTATAACTCAGAATTGAGATATAATTATTTAAAAAGAAATATAGAAGATAGGTATACATTATAAAATCAAATATATTATATGAGATGATAATATGTGATTGAGATAATACCAGCTCATTATAATTGAGCAAAGCTTCGTCGAGTAATTTTACAAGCTGGGTCCAATTTTTGACAGGCGCGTATTTGGGTTCGCCAATTCCTTCCGCGAAATGGCAATATATTAACGGTTGCTCCAAACTGATTTCAGTTTTGTCCAGCTCCTAAGGTCATTAATCAATCAAATAAATAATCAATGTATATAGACATATAGGTACATAAACGATCAGGATCAGATTAGGCATAATATTTAGGTTAAAAGAATAAAAAAATAAAAAACGAAAAATAGTAAATGTTTAAGTAAAATAAAGACATTAGCAAAAGTTAAACTTTGAAATTATATTATTTTAAATTATATTAATTGGCTGATTATTAAAATAGATTTGTGATGTGTTTTAGCAGCTTAGCTAAATTTCCAAATATTCCAAATTTCTGTTCGTGACCACAATTTTTATTAAACTCTTCCTGTTAAACGTACGGGTATATTTTTGCGCAGTGCACTGAGCAGTAGCTGATCGAATATTCTCTGATCTTCAACGTTCACCAATTTATCTCGATACACTCTCATCGCTTCATGAGCGTAAAGCTTGATTATGTGACTCGGAAGTGGTAAAACGTCGCCACGGGCGAAAAGCATCCCCTACGCGTAATATCGGAACAGGATTATCGGCATTATTACATGGAAAATCACGTCGCTGTTAATGTCGTTAATGTAAAATCAATATTCTTTGCGATTCCAACCTGGAATATATTTGTTAAATCGCGTAAATTGAAAACATAATGAAACTTGATGACCGTCGGTAGAAAAGTTGCAGCGATTTTATCGTGAAGATATAATGCGGCGTCTATCAGAGGATCCGTGAATTTTTGCACCGCTGGATTAAACTTTTGCTGCGGATCGGTCACATGCTGATTGAGAATCTGACTGTATATCATTACGAGCGCTTCTTTTTGTGGAAAACTGAGAACAGTGATCATCAATACAATGATGAGTACTTGCTTGTATTTCATGTGTGTGTGCATATGAGAATAAAAGAAAAATAATTTACCTAACTGCAAACACGGCAAAGTGTCTCTGCAAACGTGGGTCTATGGTAAAACTACCTGCAGTAGGATTCATACAAGATACGTACTGCGTATTATGAATCTCCTTTAAAGTTAATTTTGTCCTGTCATACCTGCATTATATTTTTAAAGTTTCTTACTTCAGTTTGTCGTTATTTTTATACATTCCATGCAATTTAGTGACGAGAAATTCAAATGTGACAAATTAATTATTCACATTTTGGTTGTAGAATATTCAACGATTATAATGAATTATTCTACGCTAAGATGAACATTTAAATTAGTACTTTGATAGAAATTAATTTGCCACACTTTACACATCTCACTCTGTATATCAAAGTTATTACCAGTGATTGTAATCCATGTGTTGTCTAATGAGAGTATGAGGTTGTACAGTTCCATAAGTGTCCACTTCCGGCATATTCATGTCATCTATGAAATACACCAAGAGTTTCGTGCCTGGTGGACCATAATTACGCCCCGCTTTCTTTTCCAAATGTTTCTCGAGTACTTTCTGTAACATGTCTTTTCAACGAAAATGAAACCGATGTGGTTCGTCGTTAAGGAGAAAGCTATGGCGATTGTAATGTGATACAATTGGTAATCATTCGTGAAGAATACAATTGATAGTTGTTTACCAGAAATAAGATATTTTCATATGTAAATATAAATATATATATAATGCCTAACATTTTATATTCAATATATTGTATATATACATATAAAGCTCTACTAAAAATTGCAAAATGCAATATTTTCAATATATATAAGAAGATATATTAACATGTTTAAAATTTTTCTTGACAAATTTTTTAATTTGTCTATTTTTTCGTGAACATAATAATTTTTTTTTCTCAAAATAAAATAATTTTTTGTAATTCTGTGATAATAATAAGTTATTATCTCAGAAACATATGAAAAGTTTATGAAAGTTGATCAAATCTATTCGAGTTTTAGAAACTTGAATTGTCTCCAGCTCGCTTATTCACCTGATGTAGTGTAGAAGTTAAAAGGAACATTTGCGATGCTGTAATTGTCTGGCAAACTTGCTAATTTGTCGGCCATAATAACGCTTTTTCCGGAGCCCGCACCACCCACTAACATGATCGGAACGCGCTTCTTTATCAGCAAATCCATGAAAAAACGCAAGCGCACTGTTTCTCCAGTTGGCACCAAAGCAGACTATATTAAACGTTAAATATGTTATTTATTTGATATACGTAGAACATTTTTTTCGTTCTTATTCTTTAACATTGTCGTAATTTAGACATCTTAGTTTAGCATTTTATGTTTCTGCTTTGAAATAATTTAAACTAATAAAACTGGGAAAAAACCTGAAGCGGAATATCTGAGTCCAATTCAAACGAGACGACTTTTTCGGTCCAAGGTATCAATTTTTTCGTTTCTGGTTCTATGAAGTAACTAAAGACGGTTCCGCCCGACGGAAATTTGACAGTTTTGAATTCATTTTGCCACCATTTGCTAAATTCCTTCCGCCAATCTATCAACTGATCTTGAAACATTGCAGAACCAAACGCCCAAATACAGGCGAATGCAAAATATAATTCATGCCTAAAATATTAATGTACAAATTTTGGAGAATATTTTATTTACCATTGATCATCGTAAAAGGTTGCGGAGAATATTAGAATAAAAAATTTTATTTCTTAATATTTGTCGATTACCATTCCTTCGGACAGTCCAGCGGTACGTTTTCTTTAGTCAGAAAGCAATCGAGTAAGTGACAAAGCATTTCTAAGTGACATATTTCCGGTAATGGTGTAATCTTCTTGAATTTTGCTTTCGTTACTTCCAGCAGAGGTGGAATGTACTTTTCGAAGAGTATCGACAAGTTAGCGCGTTCTGAATGATCTCTTGTTTCTATCCAGCTTGTTATGAATCTGCAGACAAATTTCTCCATTTAAATTTGGAAAGATAATTGAGACTATTAACAACGTAAATGAATTGAGTCAAATTAGAAATCGCGTAAATAAAAAATTTTTTTCAAAGCAATAATTATCATCAAGTCTTTATTCTTTAACTTCAAAATATCCTGTATTATAATATAACGTATATCAACGTATTTATTGCTTACGGGCTCCAGCCTAAATCTTGTGGATTAATGTATAAAATTCCAGCTCTAGACACTGTTGCTGGCGTAGCTGTCCTGAAATAAAAACACATACATAAAAAATGCGTAAGCAACGCTATTTGCAAATGAAATTTTTTTGTCATAAAGTCCACATTTTATATTAACATTATTAGAACAAAGCAAAACTATAATACTAGTTTTTGTGTTTTGATCTTGTCTTTAAGTTTTGTCGATTGATTTCTTGAATAAACTTTCTTTCTATGATTAGATGATAAATGTAACAAATTTTTTATGAGTTAAAAAGTTTTATATTCTAATTATTACAAAGGGGAAATTGTATAAAAAAATAGTTGACTGCTGACTGTTAACTAAGCACTAAGCGATCACCTTAAATTCGATATTTCGAAGAGGAGGCGCATATGTTTCGTTAACGCAATTCTTTCGTTACTCGCTAATGTTAAAACCTTGTTATCATCCATCACGGTATTTAGAGATTCAATCCACATCGGATCGATGTCACCGTCAAACACGATCCACTTTGGACCGTCGCCGGCCATGTTGGCTTGCTCTCTCATTATCATGGAGAACAACCTGCAAAAGTAGCAATAAAAATAGAAAGTCGTGGCGAGCCTATTACGGAGCTTGGGCTAATATAATATAAGCGCGTAGCGCGTTTGATCGCGCGCTGAAAATTGACGGGTGAGCTGTCTTCCAACCCGTCTTTCCATTCCCTCGTTGCCGGATTAATGACACCAAATAACTCGTCGTTGGTCACCGCCTTTGGGTTCAGATCATTGTAGTGCGGTTTGCGCTTTTGGTTTGAGTATGTTCGGTTAAGCGTTTTCCAGACTTCGGTCTTACCGGTCCCGGCGAGGCCGACGATAAAGACCGAGTGTCGAACGTGAAACAACTCCTCCAATTGTACCACCTGAAACGAACCGATGGAGAACTCTTTCTCGCTCTCTTTTTCTTTTTGCTCGCCAATTAACCGCATTCAAGGTGAACATTACATGTATAATGTACCTTGAGAATAAACCCGTCCTCTGGTTGCAACTTTAAATCAAGAGCCGCAGCTTTGATCATTATTTCGAAATCTAGATCTCTCTTTCGCGGTACATCCAATGCAGGAAATAAATCTCCTGAGTAGTAAAACAAAATTGCATAGAGATTACATCAATGTATGTAGAAAAAGTTATACATATATAATCTGTCTTGAAATTTATCATCCTACTTTTGTTTACAGATTTTTTTAACTTATTTATAAAGTTACAACTTTATCGCAACAAAAATCGGGGAAACGAGTAATTTTTAAGTTATAAACGATTAAAAATGAAAAGAGAAAGATATTCTTAATAAATTGTTTTGTTGTTTGTACAATAATTGATGAAATTTTCTGACTAAAACGATCAACATAAAATATGATACACTAATAAACTTTTTTTTCTGTGTGATGTTTTCGACGTACCTCACATACTCAATTTTAGTACCATTAATCCGTCTTTTACCTATTAATCCCATGAACACGGGCACGTCATCAGTCACGACTTTTGGCATATTAAAATCCCTTAGCGCTCTCATTAGCACTTGCTCCTCCGGCCTTTGCCTATCATCACGTTTCAACTTTCCGGCGACGACTAAAACGGACTTGATGGCTCTCAAACCCCAATCGTAGTGGTCTTGCTTGGATAAAAGCTCTCGACATAGCGTGTATAGGGTAATAAACTTCCTCGCCAGTAATCTCGCTTCTTGGAAGCCCTCGGCCACTAACATAATCTCGCAAATTAGTTCAAAATCGGGCACCACCATAGCGCAAGGCCTGTTGATTTATTCTGGATCAGTTACACAATATTAAACTCTCGATAATCCGTTTAATTCTTTTACCGAAATAATGTTTTCAAGTTTTCGGGTAATTCCGTTCTACCGGCGTAACCAGGATTCATCGTTATGAATATGCCAACTGTATCCACGATATTGAGCTCTTCCCCAAAGAATAAGAATTTCTTCTTTCGGTTTTTTACTCCGTCTAGAACACATTTTACTTGCACAGCCACGACCGACAATACCTCGATGGAAATTCTATTGAATTCGTCGAAGCAACCCCATGCTCCAGTTTGCGCTAGTCCCTTGTATATGTTGCCACACGACTATGGATATTCGAGCGGGAAACAATAAATTTGTGAATTTTATTTTTAACTTTATTTAAAATATGTATATCTCTCATCAGAGATAACAGATATACTAATTTATTTACGTTATACGTTGTACGTTGAACAAAAATATTATAAATATATTGTAAAATCTTTCTCTTTTTTTATGCTCGGTATGTTAAACACATTCAAAAAGACATAGACGTTAATGTTACAAGAATAAAAATATATACAAGATGGTTAAAAGTCACAAAATAATAAAATTTGATGTTTCTAGCTGCTTATGTTTTGCTAAATATGTTACGACGTAACATGAAAACTTAAAAGTATTTTTGAAGAAGGAAACACAATTATAATGGAAGGATTATATATAATATATACATATCACTTTGTGCGATATAGTTGATATTTATAAAAAATTAATAATAAAAAGAGTAGATTCATTTCACAAAAACATTCAGCAAAACGAAATCTTTTGAAACTGCACGTCCAAGAATCTCATATAAGAAACGGAGAGAGAGAGAGAGAGGGGGGGGGGGGGAGAAAAGGAATGTACTTTATAATCCATTTGTTCAGAACAGTTGAAGACATAAACCATTTGTCCAAGGGCTCTACCGAGGTCCTTGGTCGTCTCGGTTTTCCCCGTCCCCGCGGGCCCAGCCGGTGCTCCGCCCATTATCAGATGCAACGATTGCGTCAACGTAATGTAGCATCTGTCCGTCAACGGCGTAATTACCAGCCGTGGCACGTTACCCAGGTACTCGTAAGCGTATATGAAACACGCGTCGCAAATGTTGGCGAAGCAATCTCCTGATTTGTCGTCCCACCTACGAGGTGAAACAATCTCTTTCAATTTTCTTTTTTCCTACACCTGCGCAACAAGATTAGTGTCTACGGCATCGGAACGGGAATGAAATACCGGGATGGAACGTCAATACGGTTGTATTACGATAATCTTATTTTTGAAACTGATTCATCAATATATTAATGTTAGTCTCTATATTTGCAAATTTTACTTGTACGTTTTTTGGATAATTGGAGAAAGAATTCTTTTAAATCGTCACTTTTTTATTGATATGAATTCAAGTATAGAACGCTGTTATACATATATATGTAATAGAAATTTTCGATCAACGGACAATTTTTTTTTTAAGCTTCTCAATACGTCACACGCGATTACTTTTCTAAATAATAAAGAGATTATTTAAAATCACCTATGTTTTAACTGCGATTGCCATGCAAAGCTAGAAGAGTTCTCTGCTTTGATAGATATTAATTTTCCGACCACGTCACGCGCGTGCACATCGATGGTGCAAATAGTCATGATCTTCTGCCGATCGTTCTCGCTCAACTCGCTGCGCAAGATTGCAATCAGAGTGTTCAGCTGGCCGATTTGTTTTTTTTGATAATCCTTGAGCGCGTTCTCAAATCCCTCCTCGAGTCTCGCAAATGCCATATTTACTTCGGAGGCCCACCAGATTTGCGTGCCGCATAGAGCTGGCTGTGCCTCGTAATCTGAAATCCAAAGTTCGCGAGGCTTCTCGTCATACGAGGCAACAGCCTGACTAAAACGATATCTCACGCTTTTTCTCATTGCCTCCGTGACACGATTCAACCAGATCTCAACCTGTGAATCACACGGTCATCTCGATTACGCATACAGGGGTAATTGCCGCGGATAGTCATAGTCGGAGTAGCATAGCGCACTGCCATCAAGTTGTAAGTATAAGGAAAATTGTAGAGCATACCAAACATACGTTTATCATTGTTATTATTTAGCAAAAACGTACTAGTCAGTTATGAGCTTTATGACTGTTATGGGTTATGGCTCAATATGATATTTATATGTTATTGTATATGTATGTGTTGTTACATATCATATGTATCTTATTAAGTCTCATCTTGTAGAATTGATTAGTACCTTCCCCGTGCAGTCGCATGTCCCATGCATGGCCATTTCCTCGCCATCCTTCGCTATCATCCTATTAGCGTGTTTCGTCGGTTTTTCTTCTTCAATTTTCCATTCAAGTTTTGCCAACGAGTCGTACAATTTGGACAAATGCTTGCATACCATTTCGGGATTGTTTCCTATTGCAATAAAATGTGTAGGTTTCCGCTAAGTAAATTTCTTATCGTGAGAGAGAGAGAGAGAGAGAGAGAGAGAGAGAGAGAGAGAGAGAGAGGAGAAGAGAGGAGAGAGATTACCGTTACTTAATATGTCGAGTAGATCTGCGGACGAGATGAAATAAAAACGTGGATAAGCTAATCTTTTTGTCTCCAGGTAATCGGATAATGCTTTTTCACAAATATTTAATTGTCTCTCCAATTCCTCGAGTCGATCTAAAAGTTTCGGTTTATTTGTTGACTTCACTATATTTAGATTGCTCAGCATTTCCTTCAACAAATCCTTGATAGAAAATCCGAAAATATTCAATTAGTAATCATAAAATTATATAAATTATTAAAATTAAGTCAGAAAAATGCAGATGCAATTGTTCTAAAAATTATTAATTTCCAATATAATTTCCAATAAAATTTCTTTACTACAAAAAATTCTTAATATTATGTGTGTTTGTCAGATTTCTCAAAATTACTTTAAAATCTTTGTCTATCTTTTCGAAAAGTTTTGATTCCTCTGGCAATTGGCTTCTTATATCTTCCGATCCAATAAAAATGCTCTCGAGATGCATCCAAGCTCGCTGGACTTGAAACCAGGCGTTGATTGTAGCATCTGCAGTGTTAAGCTTTTGTTGCCAATCTATCACTTCATCGAGAAAATAGGCAACGTATTTGGAGTCCAACATATTTTGTAATTGTACCTGCGATAACAATCTTTTCTCTGTTCCACTTCAGAATCAGAAATTCGAATGAAATACGTACCTGATTTTCTTCCAACATTTCGATCGTTTCTTCACTTATATTTAACACGTTGAGTTTAGTGCGTTCGTGCGTTTCTTTACCAAATTCAAGAATATCCCATGTATTATGCAACTCTTTGAGGACCTTCTCCATGCTCATTTCTTTAACTGCCTTGTCCACCATGTCCTTAACTTCCTCCTCGAATTTATGAAGCTCTAATTTCAATAAATCTTCTAAAGTGGTTTTATCGTCCATAGTAAATTTCACCTATAATATTAAATATATATTATTTTTTGTTATACGTTTATTGATTTATATAGAGATTTATAACTTTTGTTATCAATTAATTTAAGTATTTTTTATTTCCAATTAATTTTTATATCAAAAATTTTTTAATGATTGATAAATTTATGTTAACGAGTATTTCAAAGTATTGACATTGGAATAGCATTATTTACACACCCGGGTCTTAGCCATAAGTTCTCGCCAATGTCTATCTCTAATGGCGGGATTTTGTAGTTCTGAAACTGCTCTTAGTGATGACATCATATTTTTCACTTGTGCTTCAACGCGAGCGTATAAATCCCAAGCTCGTGCCTCTTTATCTAATTCTAAAATAATATGAATAATATAAAATACATTGGTTTTTTTACAAATTGTGTTGTGTGACACTTTTGATACATATCAAAATATATATATTTAAGTATATATTGAGAAAATATAATTAACATTTGTGTGTGTGTGTGTGTGTGTGTGTGTGTGATTTTGAGAAACTCAGTTTCTCATTATCAAATGCACTAGTTATTTATCAATACAAAACTTACGTCTCAACTCCCGAATTAATTTTTTACACTCCTGTTCCATTCCCTCGACGTCTAATTTTTTCCAAAATGTTGTTTTCCATTCGTCTAGACTCGACGTAACGATATTAACATAATCCCAAAGATTCTTCAGAAGTCTTAATTCTTTTCTAGCGAGCTTGATTTGTTTAAATTCCGTTATCTGTTGTTCGAATATATTCGCTTGGTCATGTAATGCCTTTAATTCCTTTTCAAACTCCAGAATTTCTTCATTTATCTTGTCCAATTTTTCGTACACGTTTATACAATCGAAACTGTTGATTGCAGATTGCGATTGAAACATAAGTTGTACTTAAATAATTAGGAAATCAAAAATTTGCATAGGCAAACTCAAAAATTTTTTTTCAAAGGAATCATAGATCTTTATCTCATATATAGTTTTTAATAACTTGATTTATTATTTAAATAATATATTGCTGCTGCTGCTTTACCTGAATACGATGTTCTCGCGGAATTGCGCTAGATACTGCTGTTGCTTGAAGTCATAATAATTGAGACGTTTCTTCAGCAAGTCGATTTGTCGTGCCATTAAAGGATTCACAAACTGTTTCACTTGCACTGCCCATTTTTTGACCGTTGCCCATTGCTCCGGTAAGTCCGTTAGCCAGTTATACGTTTCTTCACCGAATTTTACTTGGTATTGTTTAAGGAGATCTATAATCGCCTGTGATCGAATAAATGAATTATTATTAGATGTTCCGTTTTATATAAATTATTACAAGTAAGATACACAGTATATTTATTTATATAATTTATATGATATTAAAAACAGAACAGAGTTACACTACTTTTTGTATATTTTCTACTTTTATTACCTTGATAGGTTCCCACATATCGTCGATTTGGTACTGTCGATCTCGCACTTCCTTTAAATAATATATAGTATTTAACAAATCCTCATAATCATCCGGTGCGATTGGCTGGGTAAATTTCTTTAAAGCATTTGTCAAGAATTCGCTAAGATTTCTAAGTCTGTGGTATATAAAATAACTAAAATTAACTATTGATTCGATATTATGCAATATAAATTAATCTATAGATATATAAGATTTTTAAAAATATATAAGGCACGTACGATTATATAGTGTATATGTAACAATGAATATACGTACTCGCTGTTAACATGATCAACCAGATGTGTCTTGAATAAATTAGTCCACTTGCAGATCGTGTTTAATAGAGTTTGTTTCAAGGCTCTTACATCTAGCCGTAGCCAACGCAAGAAAATCTTTTCATTCTCAAACTCGTCGCATTTTTTATAAAGTCCCATAAAGTAATCAATTTCTTTTTTAAAATCAGCCAGTCCTGGCTTTCTCTCTTTTAAATATTCCGACAAATTTTCTTGCGCCACCATTTCTTTTTCTTCATCCGTGAGCGCACGGCCGAAACGTAAAAACAGGTTCAAGTATTGTTGTCTATCATCAAGCCATAACCAGGAAAATGGTTCGAAAATCTGTAATTCGAGGAATATTGGTTTTCACAAAGCATAAATGTAGAAACGTCGTGAAGCTGGCGTATCATTTTGTAAAAACTTATCATCAAGTATTGAGAGTTCTGACTTTATTTTTAATACTTTTATAGCTCTCTATGGACAAATAATTCGGCTTATTAAAGTACAAAAAATGCTTCCGGACAAACAAATGCCAAATTCACGCTGCGTCTCACATTATGTCCTACGGAAATTATCTCATAATATTTAGTGCTACATTTCAAAAGATTTATAATTCTAGATAAGTTCTGCAAAGAAGTTATTATCGGGCCATAAATATTCTTTTTTTTATGAACAAAATTTACGATTAAAAATAAGATTACTACAAAGTTGTTTAAAGATCTTACGACGATATATTCCTGTGCTTGCACCAAACCTAACTTGATTCGATTACACGTTTCCTCGAGCATGAAAATGATGTTTTCTTCTTCCGCTAAGTCGGCCTTGAAGAATTATAGGTATTGTGGTTAATGACGGAAGAATCGTAATATATGAGAGTGACAATAAAAAAGACCAGGCTTTATATATATTAAGATGAAGTTCAAATTAGCTGAAAAATCAAGTTTTGTTATTTATTCGCATTTCTGTAGCGCAATTTATAATCTCCTCTTTTTAATTAATCGTTTCAACATAAATAATTAAGAAAGAATTATTTTATTTTTCAACACGCAATGTATGGTCGATAAGCGCCTATTATTGAGCACCCTATATACAATGACGTACTCCGTAGTGGTTTCGTTCCGTTGCAATGTCAGGATCTACGCGTGGTATTAAAGTTCCCATTCTCATAATATCAAGCAGCAGACGCTCGTAAAATGTATAGAAGCCCTCGGGATCGTCCGGATCCACCGCAGGACGAAAGACAATGTGGGGTGTCTCGAGTGACAGATGAATCTCGAAAAGAGGTGACACGTTACTTTCCGGATCAGTTTCATCCAGCAGATAACATATGCTGCGGCACATAGATAATAGATATATATCGCGTGAAACAGTCGGATTTCATTATTAATTAGTGGTATCTAGAAAGTGATCAAATCAAAAAGACTTCTATATATATATATATATATATAAAAGCACGTTAATTTTTAATTTTTAGTTTTTACAATCTCCAGCATTCTCAGAATTCGAGGATTTAATATAGAAGAAATATTTTGCTTAAATACTATTGTATGTGTGTGTGATACAGTGAACTTATTCGATTAAGTGTCATCAATTAATGGACAATGTAAATAATGTGATAGTATTAATAATCAATTAACAGACATTGTATTAACATTAACTTTATGTAAATGTTTAATGAAACTCATTACCTAGTAGAAGCGGCTTGGATTAAAGCTTTTGATATCAAGTTGTCAACATAAACGAGATAAGGCTTCCATTTGATCATATTCTGAGCGATTTCCTCGTCCGTTAATGTTATTTCGGTTGTCGCCATCATTCGTTCGTTCTTTTTCGTTCCGACCACTTCATTTTCCACGCCATCGCGAACAATTATTCTTTCCTTTTCTTCATCAATTCTGATGATAAAGATAAAAAAATATTTTATGACAAGTACAAAAATTTTTTATTTATTAAATTTTATTGCTGCTTACGATTTAAGAGATTACACAAACAAGTTATGTATTCTAATATTAAGAAAGGATTGATTGTCACACCTCAATCTACTCGGTGAAGTTTGCGATTCTTTTACATCATCTGTTATTTCTTCGAGTTCTTCAAATTCTTGCTTTTGCGTATCTATTCGCGCGTCTGTAACGAATATGTCATCATTTTATTTTTCGGCCAACTCATAGAACTTTAAAATTTGAAAAATTGTCTTTTGTCATATAAAAAAATTGAAAGTCTTTAGAAACAAGAAATAAATAAAAAAATTACTTTTGTCCAATTTAATCTCATCTTTCTCATACACTGAATCGGGTAGCAAATCGAAGAAAAGTTTATAATTTTCATCCAAGACTCGATTTAGCTCTCTACTAGCATGCTCGATCTGATTATATCTCTTTTGGAAATGCTCGTCACGTTCACTCACGGCGAGCAAATTCTCATCTTTAAAATCTTTGCGCTCTAATATCGGGGACATAGCCCACGAGTAAATTATACGCAACAACGTATTGATGTTTTCTTGAGCGTAAAAGATTCGCGAATGTAACTTTCGCACCAGACCCAGCAAATTATCGATATACTCTGGCACTTCTGTGAAACAAATCCTCGGTGTAGGTATGGTGAAACATTGATTTTATTTGTCTGTTTATATTATTGATTATTGTTGTGAAGCAAGAGAAAAAATTATCTAAAGGTATCGCGGAGGTGCCGCAAAAGTTCTGAATTACAAAGATTTTAAAAATTTACCTATACGTTACTTTTGGTTTATTATTAGCAATAATATAATATCTAAATGTTTTTATATACAACAGATGATCTGTCATAATTAAAAATTTCACCTGGAGAATTCCAATTATAGTTTTCCTGGCCAATGCGAATGACTTCGTCCACTTTTTCAATTTCGTGCTTCAATAATTCAAATTCCACGGGCAAAATATTATTCCTTATCCAATTGTACCTACCATTTTTGAATAAACGTATGCAGATCGAACTATTTCTAGTTATTTAATGATGCGTTTACTCACCATTGCACGAGCAAACTGAGATTGTAGGTACTCTCAAAGAAATACGGCGTTCTATAATATAATTGAATCGCTTCCTCGGTTAGGTCCGTTCTCTTCATAGTGATCATAAAACGAGTTTCTCGCAATAGAGCAGTCAGTTCCGGATCAAAGTTTAAATCGAGTAGCTTGTTTTCATGTATTATTAATAAGCTTTTCGACAAATGAACGTTGCTTATATCGACTACCTTGTTGGCCCAGTCGGTGAATATTTTATGCTCCATCGCGTCCATGAGTGACTTATAAGGACACGACGTGCTTTTATTGACACAATTCAAGAATCGGACGAATACATTAGATATCATAAATGTTTTAATAATTATTTCAGATGATTTTTTTTTGAATAAACACATTATCGTAAATAAATATATGTAGCTAACGGTAATCGTGTAGGGAGTGATACTTGATACATGTCATGAAACTTTATAAAATTAAGATATTACAGTAGAGAATGAGAGAAATATATCTACGTAAATAAATAAAAAAATTGAAAAATAACTAATTGGAAAGTAAATGATGATATCCAATGTCGCTTTTTTGCGTTCTTCTAGGGTTTTATGAAATATTACCTGCATTTGATCGTATTTTGGTTTGGTTTCACGTACTATTCTGAGGTTTATCAAAGGATGGTCAATTAATTTCGCACATTGCATCGGATAGTCTATCTGTTGGCGCAATTGCGTCAACGTACACAATGCGCCAGCAACATGTGGGAAATACTGATCGGTTTCAATCCATTCGTCCTCCTTATAATCTTTGAAGGTGCTGTCAAATATGACCTGGAAAAGGTAAATGGAGTGTCTGTCTAAGGCTCATCATCTATCATTACGGCTATATTATGTCTATTAAATATCAATATTGTAGCGCACTTTAATATCATCGAAATGTCTATGAATTCTTTGAAGCAATCTCTCGTAATTGTGCCATAATTGTGCCATAATGATTGGTCGATTGGCCATTGAGCCTAGAATCCATATTGCTTTAAAAATAATTTCAGTATTGTGACATTCAGAAAATGCTTGATCGAATATATTTGCCAGCTCTCTGTCAAACTCTTCTACCTACGGTAAATGAGTCGACAATGTTTTACATTGAAACGGTAATCTTACTAATTTATGAAAAGCAGTCATCGTACAAAGCGTATAAAATACAAGTATCATATGACATATGATACGCGATTATCGCGCTTACCTTTACTAAAAAAGAATTAACGTGATCTGTGAATCGTATCTCTTCCGGCATCAGAATATCGTACTCTAATTCGGCAAATTCATTGTAAATTTTAACAAATTTTTCATGAATGTCATATATTTTGGAACACAATGTTTTCTTTTTTAAAATCGCGAATTCCATTCTTTCTAGCTTAAAATATTCTTGAGCCGTATCAAATAACATCTGACAAATAGTATGCAATAATTAATCATTTATAGATAAATTGTTTTGTGCTTAAAATAACAATCATATTTTTCTTACTTTATATAAAAATGCATTTTTATTTTTTTGTATTTTCAAATTTTGTATATACCTATACCTAAGTGAGTGTGCGTGCAGTGAGTGATACACATACATATGTAACTATTAAAATTTTCAGATTAATTGACGAAAAAATTAAAAACAGTGTGAGAATCCAATTATGAAAAGCATAATTTAAAAAATGTTACATTTATTTTAAAAATCAGCATTACAAACTTTAATTTCTCCCAAACGTTTCTGAAAATTCATTATTCTTCCAAGCACCAATTCATCATCAAAATTCCATGGAATTAGTTCGGTTGAATGCTTAAAGTAATTATCCAATTTACTTCGAAACGTTTCAAACATTTCTGTATAATAATTTAAAATATTTGTCACATGCACTAAACGTTTCAGGCTATCCTCGATATCACCAGTAAACAAAGTACTCTGATCCAAATATTTCGTGGCCTGCGAAGAATATCTTGATTGCTCGAGTATCTCAATATAAAAATATCTATTTTTTTCTTACGTACCTCAGCAATTAGTAGATTAGATATTTCGGATAATAGCGTGATTATTCGCGTTGGAGTGCAATAATATTTTGAATTTGACCATATGAGGCACACGCAGTGCAATAATGGTTTCAATTTCGGCTGTATGTCTTGGAATTCGGTATTTTGTATATCTTCGAAATGAGGTTCCAACGCTTTTAAGTAAGCACATACATCGCGGGCTTCAATCACCGCTTTTAAGGGACGAATAAAAAATTTTTGTATTGAATTATGTAAATTAAATCAATGTGCAAAATTACGTAATTTTAGCGTGATTTCATGACGTGATTTTTGGAAGTTTATTAAAAAATTAATCAACTCTGCTTTTCCTTTAAAATAATTCATTAGAATAATGTAGCGACAATATATTACAGTAAGAAAAAGACGAAACGCCTAATCGACATAATTAATATTCGATTAACGCTAGCAAGATCTAACCAGCGATAACGTCCTTCAACAGAGCCTTGAAACGCGGTGAACAAGGGCTCTTGGTTAATTCTAGAATAGATGCCATCTTTTTCACTCGTAGGTCCCTCATTTGACTGTGAATAGATTCAACGTTTACAAGTCGTTGACTCCAAAAATCAATTTCTGCAAGTACATTGTTGAGGATTAACGTTTCTTCGATTCTCAATTCAATTTCTTAATTAATTAAATTTGGTTGAAAATCAGTAATTCGGGAAAATAAAAAATGTATTCTTATGTTTTTTTATGTATTGTATATTCCACATAAAAATATACTTATATTACATTTTAAGAAGCAACGTATATGAAAAAAATTGGTCTAATGTTTTGAATGTTACAAAACATTTGCTTTTTAATTTTGCTTAAATGCTGCAATACCTGCACTCGGTAGCAACTGCTTATCATTTTTTGGGCTTTCTTCGTTTAGCGTATCACCGATTTGCGAACACCATTTCGTTACGATAGTTTCTATATTGCTTTTTAAAGGAAGATCGATCTCGACCCCGCCGCTCTGCTGCGCTTTCCATTCCGCCTCGAATATCTGTTCGATGCCCATTGGCATCGGTAGTAAAGTTTGTCCCATCATCTTACCTTTGACCTGAAAGAGATAAGGCATTTCTCGTCGATATTTTGACCGGTTGATAAGGACATTTTTGGTCCATTTCGAGATTTAACACTCACAATCAGTTAATACCGTTAAGATTTGAAGAATATCTTTTAATAAGAAATTTTTTTTATTAAGATAAAAGAAGTAAATTACATATTTTAGGATAGCAATAATACCTGTTGTGTGGATAAATATTACATCTTGTGAGTTAAGAGTTAAAACTATACTTCTTGTACCTGGCATATCATATTGCGAAGATCGTAAACGTGCTTTTTCATGTCCTCACCGATAACGCGTGGCCAACCCTTGTGGTTCTTCGGATTCGATAATATCGGTACATAAGCCTAGGCAGAACGTTCGCGTAAGGGTCAGTCCCTTTTCATGGACGCGAACGATATTTAATTCGAACGTGCAATCGCGCTACCTCCTCAACCAAGACGGATAGTTCCTCGATAGGTTTCGAAGCCATATCACCGGGTATAATGACATTCCTATAATTTTCTTTCGTGATCTCGACAGGGTCTTTTTTTATAAAATACGATACCTTAACCCAACCTGTCGGTGGTATCTCGAGAAACGGCACTAACACACCAGCCGGATTTAGTTGTATTATCAGAATCATCTCCGACGGTGTATCGAAGAATTTCATAACCGTCTCCTGACATTTATATACAATACAAATAAAATAAAATAAGTGCTGAACGATTTATTTGTTTAACAAAAATTGATTTTGGATTGCTGTCGCACGAAGATAGAAAATTTCAGTTTGGATGGAGATATCTTAAATCGTGGTGATGAATGATATTTAAAAAAATTTGATTTTGTTAATTTGGGTTAAGGTTAAGATTTAGAGGAAAATATTGTACCTTGTATTCCTCGTTTGTTAACATCTTTACCCATTTGTCGGGTTTAATTTTTCTCGAAAGCACCAAATATTTATAGAGAAATTCAATACGATCATCCTCCTCCTTCTTCTCCTCATCTTTCTTATCAGCCATTTTCTAGATTTACGAGAAAAATATTCGTTATCCTCAACGCTATTCAACTGAACAATTTGAACGTTGCCGATTTGTTTTCACAAACAAGTTTTTTTTCAGAATAGAGAGAAAGAAAAATAAGCTGAATATTCACGTTTTATTGAAGCACGTATACATACAGAATGATATATATTATTTGAGAGAGCAGAATCATACGTATAAAAGTATAAAATTCGCTAAAGCGCATTTTGTAAGATATAAGGAATTGAAAAAATAAATGCTGCGTAGACTGAGTATACGAAAAGCTTCAGACTAGATATCGTAATAACGCCACTACTACCACAAGTCGCTTTAGAGTATCTAAATCGCGTCACGTCACGTCGATCATTGATCGCTAAGTGATCATTGATCACTGCACGGAAAGTCTCGACACATCGAGTCGAAAACCGATCCATCTATCATTCGTCGATCATTTCCGGCCAGACTTCCTTCTCGATCCATTCCAGAAAGGAATATACCGCTGTATATACTCCCGGTATAGAACCTCCGCAATTTTGGCCGAAAGCCGTGATTCCCACAATGCTACAACCAGACTCGGTGAGCATTAACAAGGGCCCGCCGCTATCTCCGTGACAAGCGTCCGACCTTCTTGTGACGTTGGTATCCAATACGCACAGCATACTTTCGTCCAAACCGCGGGGTAACTTGCCGAAACCATTGAACGATTTCGCGCACGATTCCCTGTCTACGAGGCTGGAAATTGGAGCATAATTTAAATAGTATGTAAATCGCGGGGATCTTGCGTTATACAAAGATATATTTATACAGATATACAAGAATATATGCACACGTATATTTCGTCAATCGCTAAAATTTTATTAATTAACTTTGGCTACGTACAAATCGGACTTTACTCCTTTTTTTTATCTATAAATAATTATACGTAAAGGTGATTTTTTTATCGCAAGATATGTACAAAACCGCAAAGATACTAGCTCGAAGTCAAATAAGAAATTTGGTTTTTAGTAAAAGAATTTCAGTAAACATATGTTTGAAAAGAGTTTTCCAAAGAGTTATTGCTAAAAAATTTTGCTAAAAATAGTAAAAATGTTATGTATTATGTTTTGTATTCTCATTGTATTCTCACCTGAGACCCGGTGTCTTCATCAATTTGGTACTGCTGTCCTCGTCGAAGCTGGTAGCGCCCCAGCCAATCACGATAAACGTTAGGTTCGATCGTACATCCATGGAGTCTAAAGATTTCGTTTGGATACAGATCGGCCGTACGTTACTCGCCACGCGTACAGGCGTACTTAATTTCAAAATAGCCACGTCGTTGTAATTCACGCTGCGCTTATATTGCGGATGCGTTATTACGTTGCTTATGGGAATTCGTTGCGCATCGTCCCCAACGTTCTTCAGATCTTCGCTGCCGACTCTTACCTGTGAGAGCAAAGAAAATTTGCTATCCTAAGAACGATAGGCAAGATCTGTACATTTGATCATCGACAAAGACGGAAATTATATGTGTTATCAATTTCGTTTCTATATATATTCGCGAAATTTGAACTTGAATGTTCACTATCTGCGACATTTATGCGTCAACTCCGATCGCATGAATTAATGATACTTAATTGATACTCTTTGCGTTTATCACTCGCGGAGAAAAATTGAAAAAACTTTTCGCCCGACTAAAATATTTTTATTAATAAGTATTTTGCACGAATCTAAATCTAGTTTCTCTTATTTTTAACCTTTTCTCTTTTAAACGAAAGATTCGAATCGATCGCAGATATCTCGATAGTCAGTTCAAATATATCGCGACCTTGAACTTGGAGCTCGCTGTTACTTGCCTCTATCGGCACTTTCTCCTGTATATTATTGACGCAGTGAGCAGCGGTTAACACATATTGCGAGGAAATTAACGTGCCACCGCAGTTGTACTTGATAGCTTCCGAATTGTCGTCGTTCTTATCTTCGTTCTCGTACCCCAAAGCGACCATGTACGGGAATTCCCCGTGTTCGGTCTGCGTGCCGCCAAATATGTTGAACTGCACTTCAGCCGTAACCGTGCCCCTCCTCACCTTACCGTTGGCTCCAATCTCGTTCTCGTACTGGCGACATGCTAAAAATCCAAGCGCACCGACGTCCGTTAAAAACCATCTCTTTTGCATTTTAAATTAAAGAACACAATCAATCAATTAGTCTAACACCGTTAACGCGAAACCGACCTGTTCGGATCTAATATGGAACCGGAACCGTAACCGTAACCGTAACCGTGACCGTAAAGCCATGAAGATTGTTACGTCACCGTGCGCGTCTCCACTTCAAGGCCGTTCATTATTTAAACGAGATTCTCGGAAACGATGATCGTGCAATTTGCGCACGCGCGCATGTTACTATAGGTACATACATGTACATTAAAACAGTGATAAATATATGATAAAAATTAAAATAGCTTTGTTGTTGACGTTTAAATGGACGCGTTTGTGTAAATACTTTGGTATTTCAGCAATATCTTAAAATCGTATACAAAGTGACATAAACACGCTATAGTGCATGACAAAACATATCGACGTTGGATTTTGTCTTCATTTGGATGAAGAAAATAAGAGCCATTATCAAAAGTTATAGCAGCTAGTTGAAAAACCTGTTTCTGAATAAAGATAGAATGTTAATCGATAGCGATTTCGTGGATGCGGAGTATAATTATCATTCGTCGATCGGCTTTCTCGTCGCTCGTCTCTTTATTATTTCAAAACAAAAAGATATCTCTCGGTCGAGTGGCACAGTAATTTGTAAAACCAAGCGATAGACTTTAGTCTGCGAAATGTATCCTAAATGTAGGGGTTGATTGGGCGTAAAAAAATTAAAAACGAGTCAATTCATGAAATTTTAAGAGAATAATTTTAGCGCGTAACTCAGTCAGCACGAAATGCGTTGTAAATATCTGTAGAAATGAAATTCCGTCGCAATTCTTTAGTTTTCGGATCACCATAAAACGGTTATTCTACTATAAAAAAAAAAAACCAGAAAAGGGACATCATATATACCTATCTCTGCTGGTCGAAGTCCTATTTTGTCCGTAATATTGAACTGACAACAAACTATTTCCGTGAAATCCTGGAAGCCGCAACGTCCCGTAGAATCCGAGCTTCTTTTACCTTCCTTTACTTCTTGCAGTCTGGATGGACATTCGTATATCTTTTTGCACACGCCTGGCCTGCCGTCCTCCGTTCTGCAGTAACTGCCTTCTGTGTGTCAACCAAAACGAGGTTACATTTCGATTTAATTGTAGGCGGGAAAGCCCATGAGGAAAAGCATGAGTCATTGAAAATAATCTAAACGCACGGCCCACACTTTTACTCGGGTTTACATACTATTTTCGAATGATAGCGTTTATTCGCACACAGGACGGTATAGAATTTGAGAAAATCCTAAACTAGAAAGATAAAAGAAAGAGAGAATATTATACCTCCCTCTCCCCCCTCTCTCTCTCTCTCATTATATAGAAATATTTTTTTTTATAGATTATTTAGCTTAAATAATTTGATCTCAAAAATTCAGATTTAAGTTTTATTTTGGAAATATTATAAAATTATAAATCAAAATACTTTAAAGATTAAATATAACAAAAATGAGTCTTGTTTGTGATACATGATATAAAATACATATATGTATATACAAGTTTCGTCTTTCTAGATTGCGAATAAATTTCACCATACGATTTAATGAAAACGATTTTCGCAATCGTGGTTGCGTAACAGATCGATAGACCAATCGATAAGCGTTGGAAAATTACGTACACACGACGACTTTTGTCGATCTTTCGTTTGAATTAATTACATGCAAGTACCGTGTCGCTGTGCGGTACTAGTAGTAGTAAAAGCATCATTGTATTTTACAGCAGCGGGGAAAAACAGTCACGTCACATACTTATAGCCGCGAATGTTGTCCGTGAATGTTGTTCGCGACACCGCAACATTAATTGGAATCAGGGAATATTTTGTAGAACTTATTGTAGAATTGCATAAACTATAATTATAAATTCTCGATAATTAATGGTATTCTGTAATGAATTTGGAGTTTATTTTTATTCAACGAAACTGCCGAGACATCAACAAATTCCCAACGACTAAACAAGGACGATATATAATTTCATATATTTCGAGTTTCGGAAGAACGAACAAATATTAAACTTATATTTCTCGATTAATTCGAATTCTAATTCGAGAGTTAATTACAAAAATATCTAATATGAATTACTGGAATGTTATCCTTCATTTTTTCGAGAGAAAAATAGACTTTAATTAAGTGGCTCATAGAATCAGTTATCAAAATTAAGATTGAGTTAGTGGATATGTATATCTCTAATATATTATAGAAAGCAAAGAAAAACTGTCGATAGTAAGTATTGAATGTAAGCACTGGATCAACATCCAATTTGTCATTTCGATTTTGCGCATATCAACATTAGAATTGGAAAAGTGCGTTATCATATAACACGAGGTGTGAATCATATCGTTTTCATAATAGAACATGAGTTAAGTAGGAAGTAAATATAAGCGTGTGTGTGTAGTTGCGATAACGATTCACCCCGAACTCCATATTATGACGTTTATCTAATCGTAACTTCAGCAGGTCAATAGCAGTTATATATTTTGCTAAAGTCGCTTCAATTTAATCGAATTATTCATAGTAATTCCCATAATGTAATAAAAACTTAATATCATCATAATGTATCAGGATTGTGTTAATCCTGGAACGCACGAGTTGTTTTCATCACGTTTTACTCGTAAACGGTAACAATAACGGTAATAACAGTAAGAAATTCTTGGTTGATATGTGTAAAAGCTCAGATATTTTTCGAACAAGTTTGAAAGAAAAATATTATTTCAAATAAAAATGTTTAATACTCTTATTAATATTTCTATTGACTAAATGTATTTAATATTCACATATATTTTATACCGTAAAGTTCCTCTTGCATTGGTAAGCCATGCGTAAAAAACTTGAACAAAAGGACGATGAGAATCGAGAAGGGCAAGCTAAAGTCCATCTTGAGTACACGATGATTTATAACGTTGAACACATTCACTTGACTTGGTTAAAAAAAGGATGTCCACATATATACCTGCAATCGATCTTAAAGAAAAATTGATTTACAATTTTTTAAATTTAGATTTTAGGAATTTAATTATATACCACATACACAATACACATATATAATATATAAATAATATTTTTAAACAGTTACATTTTGCATTTATACGATATTCATAGATTTATAAAAGTGTACAACTTAAAAATTTACTAAAATTAACTTAATAGATAGGAAGAAAAGATAAAGTTTGAAAATGTAACTATAAATACAAACTCAAGTTTTTAATTTAAATTACAGACTTTATATTTTTTAATGATAATAATTAATTAAAGATTCTTACAGAGGAATTTTTTCTTTGCACTTCAAGTGGTTCACTCCTTAAAGAGATCGCTTATTTTCAAAGACATTCGATGATATTTTCTTCCAGAAACTTTAACTCTGACGATGTAAGAGAGAAAACAATATTTGTGCGCGATGCACTGCCCGATTCGCGGCTCGAGGCTCGAGACTGCTCGAGACTCGATTGACGACTCGACTGACGACTGACGCCACGCGATGCGAATGTGATCCGGTATAGTCATTGCAGAAGCGGTAAAAATGTGTAGAAGCACGGACGCCCGCATCAAAGCGGCAGCTTTGATCACTATCGTATATTGCGCGCAACGCTGCATAAATCACGCGACGTTCCGCGAACGTTGCACGTGTGGTTTGCCCAATTTGTAATTATTCACTGTTCTCTACAGTGTAGTACATATAGCACGTATATTATATTACGCATGTAAAATGTCCATGCATCACGTGTGAATCGTGTGATGCATTCATTCGCGAGCATTCCCCTCTGCGACGCATTATTTAGAATCGTTAGAATAGTGAATGATTAGTGAGAATTGGTTTTAAAAATAAGGAGCAGATATCGAGTACACTTTGTTAAAAATTATTTTATGCAAATTATATGTATCTCCTCTTTTATACTTTATTTGTAAAAGAAAATATTTTTTAAATTTTTCAAGAAATATTAATTTCTTTTACGATTTTTTTTTTTTAAATATATTTTTGGTACTTTATTCATATTTTAGTCATTTTAGTAATTTACATTAATTATTAAATGTAATTTGATAAAAAAACTTAAAACAAAGTTATTTATTATTATAAGCATTAAAGAAAATTTTTTAAATATTACCAATGATACGAAATAATTAAATTGTTTTATTCTACTAGGCCTAATCGCTATTCTAATTTAGATCGTTCGTATATATTACGTGTAGGATTTCATGCCGACAAAATTTTTATTACTTTTCCGTAAGATGAATATTTCTGTAATTATATAATGGATTATAATTATTCATCTCTCTTTTTCAGACATACATCTCTATTAGAAGAACGCAAGATTGCGATTATCAAGTACCAAAAATTTAATTTGCAATGATTGCAAATGATTTCTATTGAAAGTGCTTCATTGGAACTGTCCGCGAGATGAATTGGACTTAATTATACGCCAGTATACACAAAATACATTATTTATTTACACAATATAACATACTAGATAAAAATTGTATTTCGAAAAAATTTCCGAAAGGAGTAGTACCTATATATCACGAAACGCTAATAATCCTCTTCCAGGATGCATTTTTCCACCAGTTCCCGTAAGTTTGGATTTTCCATCGCAGCCGCTATACGTTCCTTGTCATTAATTTGTTTATTAACTGTAATTTAATAGGTAATTTAATTAAAAACAAGAGCTATGTGTGTTTCAGTGCTGAAGGAGATGCGTACGTACTTTCCTGTTCAGTGGAATGTGCACCTTTCTTGATATAGATATCTAATTTAAATAACGCCGATAAATGACGTTCTAATTTAATGCGGATGCATAATCCTATGAGGGTTGCCAATGAACAGTGAGGCACTGTAGGATTAAACTCAACACGAATCACAGAAACTCCTGCAGGCGTGCTGTGGCAGACTTTTATGCAATCTTCGTAGACAACGTCCAATTGCTCCAAGGTTTGTGGTTTCTCAGGATCCTTGATCGTCCTTAATAAATCTGAAAAGCAACGAAACATTGTCGAGTGAATATACAGAATCGACAGAATCTGCACCTGAAAAATGTCAGTAATTGATCGAGCGTTTTAAGTTTTAATAAGCTTAACAATAAGGAACAAGACATTTGTAAATGTCGCGCACCGTCTCTCTGACATTGGCGCGATACAAGACACAAATAGAGCGCAAAACTTGCCGTAAACGGATTCTTTTAATTCGGTATCCGTCTTTAACATTTGATTATTCGTTGTCAAGAGATCCTCTGCCGTTCCCATGACTGCCTCCGGCAGTATACCATCCTTTATCTTTCCGCCAATTGATAACTTTCGGAAAAAGGATAGCATGTTTATTAACGATAATAACAAGAAAAACATAACAGCATGGTGTGAATTACGTCATCTGCATTCGCGGAGACGAGCGACGAAAGACGTCAGCGAGGATAACGCGACATTCGGAATATCATATGGCTAATGGCGTTGTGTTACACTCTCGACTCTTGGTTAGGGTCCAGGCCGTCCAGGGTCGCTGAGGGTAGTGAGGGTCGCCAAGTCATCCAACATTTTCGTATTTTATAAATTCCCCAGAAGTCTTCAAGTTTTGTTTTGCAATCCTGCCATCCTACGTCTGCGCCTGCGCGTATCGCGCGGCAACTCAATGTTTTCTTTTCTTTTTTCCAGGTTGCAAGTTGCAAGCGTCAAACGTCTCTAGATATTTATGCGTTATGATTCAGAGAAGATTGACAGACCTGACAATTTGACACTTGTATTTGACATGTATAAGAAATTGAATTAAACATAAAGACTGATAAAGGATAAAGGAGCGATCGTATATATCAGTATACAACTATACACGATGACGACGCAAGAGGTGAGGAGATTGAAGAAAAAAAGTGCGCAGAAAGAAAGTGTAGCTCAGGAGGAAAACAAAGCGGAAAAACCGAGCGAATCGGTTAAGTCGTGAGTATAAAGCTAATTTTTTTATGTTATAAATGTTTACATTACATTATCGGTCCTCCCTTTCCTATTTCAAATTTTAACATTTCCACATCTGAAAAAGATAATGATTAAATAAATAATATCCAAAATAAAAGAAGATACATACTCCGTTTCTTCCCTCTGCTGTCATTAAGAAACTATTTAATTTATAGAAGTGAAATATATTATCCATGGATATAAAAACAGCAATTAACACCGGTACTACTTTCTATCTTGTAGGAAATATGGACCTATTGTAACGTTTCCCTATCAGAGAGTATGGTCCAGATGCGTTCTGATACTTGGAGTCTTGCTAATAGTTTGGTATAATAACAGACAGGGCAAAGAAGTATATCTAGCAAAACAAAAAGACGTATTGGTAAGTCGTACACAGAACGTTGACTGCTCTATGGATTATAGAGACAAGTTAGAAAAATACCCTGGCTGTGTACCAGAAAAATGCGGCAGAGTTGTAACTGACAAACTCGTCTCGACAACAGAGGCAGATGTTTTACTGAAACTAGCAAAAAGTGGATTAGATTTGGCTGGATCTGATGGTGGCGCGAGTATCCTGGATCTTCATTCTGGCGCTCTTAGCAAGGGCCAGGGTTTTATCAATATCTATAAACAACCAGAAGCAAAGAAAATATTCAACAGCGTGGATTCAGCAATTTATAAGTATGATTTTTAATTACGTATAAATATTTTTTCATTTCATTTTTAAATTTAGAGCAAAATTATTTGTTGATGTTCCAAATTTGAGGAATGTTTATAGTAAATCAATAGTACGAGTTGTTTATCTAAACTCGCTTGTATATATCATAAATGATAAACAAATACACTTCTATCTCCTAGAATCTATATTTTTAGCCTCTGAAACATACATTTATGCAAATCATTAAAAATCATTCTACATATATCTATTTGGTATTCCATATAAAAAAAAAAAAACAAGTTATTTAATATTGTACAATGTATGTTAGGTTCTTCCTTAACTTACAGGGTAGTGAAAACGAAAATACAACATGCGGTGGCACATAATTTCGGCATAGATACAAATAAGATCTATTTAACTAAACCTACTTTCTTCTCGCGAATGACTAATAAACCTGCGAAAACCATACACGACGAATACTGGCATCCACATATCGATAAGGTTTGTTCTCGCGACGTTACGTAGCGTCTTTTATTAGTCAGGAAGCTTTGTTTTGTAATATAGAATTAAAATATAAAAATATGTATTTCAGGAAACATACGAATCGTTTCATTACACTTCATTGTTGTATTTAAGTGATTATAATAAAGACTTCGAAGGCGGTCGATTTATATTTATGGACAAAAACGATGTTAATGCTACAGTAGAACCGAGAAAAGGTAAGGCATTGTCAGTTATATAAGTTAAATTTATTCTAAGGAGATGAGACTCTAATTTATCTATATTTTCAGGCAGAGTATCAATTTTTACTTCAGGGAGCGAAAATTTACATTTAGTTGAGAAAGTGAAATCTGGTACTCGTTACGCCTTGACCGTATCTTTCACGTGCGATAAGAACGCCGCGATATCAGATCTGCGCTTTACCGAGACGTTAAATTAAGATTTTCTATCTCATTAATATTTTTCCATATTATACATAACATAGAATATAGTGTCGATGATATTTTCATTCATAAATTGTTGAATGCACAATTGAACAGTATTATAATATTATTGTAAAGAAAAATAAGTGAAGTATATATATTATTTTTGAAAATGTATTAGTAAATATAAATTAAATAATCAGAGAATTCAGAATGTTGATATATTAGATATTTTATTTATTCGATTAAATGCATGTTGTACAATTAATTAATACAATTATTTTAATGACTCACGAACCATTTTAATTGCACTTGAAAAGTTTTCATACCAAATACAAATGATTTAATCATTTTCATATAGTAATTCTTAAAAAAAGAACGTTAATTTCTGGCCAAGTATACATATACGAATGTCTTAGCCCGTATCAGACTACAGATTGGGATTGGGATTGGGATTGAAATTTTACCAATGTTACCAAATTTTACCAAGAGCAAAGTTCACTAAACTTGAGATTAGTTTTCTTTTATCTGATTGATTATAATTTCAATCCCAATCTGTAGTCTGATAAGGGCTTTAGTGCTTACATTTTTCTATGTGCTATGGCCCTTGAAGGATTTAAGCCCGGTGTCCACGATGCAAGAACTGTGTCCAAGTTTCGGTTTAAGCCAATCAACTAGCAGCTCTTACAGAAAAGTAGCAGTTTCATTGGCTTAAATCAAAACTTGGACACAGTTCTAGCATCGTGGACACCGGGCTTTATGCTAGGTCTACAATGCGAGTCGTAAAGTCGTGAGTCGTAAGAATTGACCAATCACAATCGAATTTGAGGAGAATAATCGACTGTGATTGGTCAATTCTTACGACTCACGACTTTACGACTTGCATTGTAGACCTAGCATTATGCTTATGTTTATGCGCTATGCAAGTGTGTCTGGATTGACCTTAAAGGCCATCGTATACACTGGACCAATGAGCATCGAACATAAATCCTCCGTTTACGCTCGGTCTATCTCTTGCTAAAAGTCTATGATCGCCACAAGTCGTAACGATATACAATACAAGATGGCGCTACCTGTCCGACTGATCAGACTGGAGCTTCTGATTGACATATTGCGTTTAAAGTAAGCAGGTAAACGTTTTACTGAAGTCGAACGTTCGACGATCTTGTTGCATCGGTTGCGCGCAGTTGCCGCCCCCGGAAGTGCCTGTTAAACATATGAGTGTGAGAATAGTGTATCCGGAACAAAATTATTCGTCGTCGGCTTAGCATCTTCTTATTTCTGTGGTGCTTCCGTTTCTCCCTCGAGGTCCGATTGTCGTTCGTAACAGAAAGGCTCAACGCAAACTTCTTTCTGGGAATGTTGAAGGATTCGCTTATCGTTCGAGCATCCTACCAAGAGGTGGGCAAGTTTGGCTTATTATCTTCCCCTCATTGCAAGTGGAAACGAAGAAGTGTGTATGTGTGTGTAATTGTGCGTATGCAGATGCGTACGTTGCGAATGCGTATGTCCTTTAAATTAACTACATCAAGGAGCGTGAAGAGTGATTTCGTTATTCCTCTTCGCATCTCATACCGTCTACTTACCCGAGAATAATTACCCTGAGCCCTGAGGTGATTTTTTTACACCCCAGCGTCGAAAAGAGAATGGAGCTTACAGAACATATTGAGCAAATCTATATATATATATATAATGCTCTCAAATACTAATAAATTATAGAACAAGCAATAAAAGAAATCAAGACTATTCTCGTTAAAAACTTGTCGGAAATGCATCAAGATTCGAGATTTTAGTAGACGATAAAGATTTAAAACTATTTGAGAATTTATCGAGTAGTTTTTTGTTTATTTCATAAGAATTGAAACAGGTTATATATAGTATGCTTACTTTTTTATATCGCAAGAAGTACACTACCGGCATGAACGCACACCTCACAATTTTTCGAAAAATGTTTTTTTGCTCTCATCTGTCTAAATGATAAATTTATTCGTTTTCCAATTTACTTTTTTTCTAATACGATTTTGCTTTAAAAAAATTTTTTTGAATATAGATAAATCCTAAATTGAAAATTTAACGCAGCCGCTGTCTATTGGTTTTGTAAGGCGTAAAGAATATTGTTTTTTTGCAATTTAAGGTGAGGCGTTATTAAGATAGTTTAAGCAGGAAATTCTTGAAGAAAAAAATTTCATCTTATTTCGTTTAAATTGAGATATGTATAAATGCACTTTTTTATTTTATATTGATGACAGTAACGTAAGATATCAGCTGTGAAATGAAAATGTTGAGAAACAGATTAATCTTTTGATTTTTTATCTGATTCGTTGACTCATTAAACAGCATTTCAGAGCTATCATATGAAAAATGAATGCTAAAAGCACATGAAAATCAACCAACGACTCCTTTTCCCATTTAGCTTACAAATTTGCATCTTAACAACCGTTTGCGTCATGTAACATTGTACTTCTCGGCGTTTTAATGATGAGGAAACGGGAACAATCGTGTGATATCTGCATCATATTGGAGCGAATATGGCAATGCGAATATCGATCCTAGCGTCTCTCGGCGAGGCCGGCTTGGTTTCGAGGTCACCGGGACTGAGAGCCTCACTCTCGATCTCGTTCTCGTTAAACCGTTTGACCGTACTACACCCTATGAACTACTAGTAATTACATGAAAATACATTTGTGTATTATCTAAATATCTAAATGATTGAATTTGATAAATCAAATATTATATATAAATTTGCAGAGATCAGTACACAGATCTTATATGTATGTGCGTGCGCGTGTGCTTGTGCGTGTATATTTTAGTAGCACTGTTTCAAAGTCGAGAATTTTTTGATCATACAACATATTTTTTTAACGCTTTACAATAAAAATCTCAAATATTTATACAAATAACCAAGCTTTGATTGTATTGTATATTCTGTATTTGTCTCGAAAATGAAGAGATCAAAGATTCGGAAATTCTTTATTTTGGGATAAAAGACACTTTTTGTCCACTACTGAGTTTTGTAAAAATTCCTAATGATAAATTCATAGATTTTTCACTTTATAAGAATTACTCTTGTCTCTGTTTTAAAAGATCTTTCGCAACAATACCGCGCTTAACACTTAATACCATACCTCTGTAAAATCAAATCTTTCACCGTTATTTAAAATTTATTGTTATTTATGTGTTTTATATATATATATATATATATATATATATATATAGATTCTTGATTTTAGTGTCCGAACCATTTATTAGAAAATTACTTTTATAATATAAGAAGAAAAATTATATTACATGTATTTTTGTTAATATACAACTAATTTATTTTTTACTACTTACGAGGGTCGGTACGAAAGTAATGCCTCCTAAGATTTTTCTTTCGAATCTAGCGCCATAGAAAATTATGTCAAATTCATGCAATTACAAGACCTCTGTAAAGCTTTTATCAGTTGACCTCGATTTCTATACTAAATAAACCTTAAATTTTATCAATCTTCTTTAGAAAATCAAAGAGGTGGGTATAAAGAAAATTTAGTAGAGAAAAATAGCGAACAAAATAACATATAGAAATCTAAATAATAGGAATTTTGTCAATAACACAATTATGTAACTTACTGCGAAGTTTGAAATTTTAGTGGAACACTATATACTCGAACTCGAAATACTCGTGCTCGCGATATTCAAGACGTTCCAAGATGTTTCGAGCTGTCTATAGTGTCTATTAATTCCCGAATTACATTACATAAGTTGCATGCAGACAAGATGCTCCATTCATTAATTGCGTATGATTTGCAAATATAAATAGTCTCGCAAACTCAAGTTACGCATTAGCGTTTTTAATTATGCTTATAAGACAAAATATAAATTTATGTATCGTATACATAATTATTATTTCAATAATAACAATTTGCAATAATATAGACTATAGACATGCAATATTGATGTACGATTAAATCATATAACACACGCATTACTTTTGCAATGCGAGATGTGTTGGTTCTGGTTTTATTTTAGTCTTATAATTATTTTTATTATACCATTAGAGCAAAATTTTTTGCCGAATCCAACGCTTTTATTGTCACTTATTAAAATAAACGGTAGTGATTATATATTTAGCACATTGGGTTTACAAGCAAGTTTATTTTGTACGATAACGCACATTATTACGTTGAATGTATAGAGGCCGAGTAACATTAGTCTTCTAGTTTCTCCGTCTTACACCGATTTTACTTTTTCCCTTCTCTCGTGTCTCAGTCGGATGAAAATAGTATAGCAGAAACAGGCTAAGGCCAGCGATCTAGACCGGTCAATTTTACAAATATAAAAGATGGATGAGGGTATAGAATTTAGTTCCAAAAGCAATTATTTAAAACTATGAAACTATGAACTATTAAATATCATCGAAACAGAAAATCACAGTGTTATGCTATGACGAAGATCCATACTTGTGAGTTATGGGATGAGATCCGAACATATCAGATTTATCTCAAATTGATTGAGAAAACTATTATTAACAATTATTATATGATTAAAGTCGCTTTCCCTTCCTTCGATATATAGCGTATTTCTAAGTTAACACTGCTTTAAATTGTTTATTAAACTAAATGTATTCAAATGTGTAGGTAAATAGTCGTTTATCATTTTTCTGCAGAATAAATCAGATGTTTTAAAAACACTTATCTTCTGATAAATTTATTTTCTCTTTTAATTATTAGACGATTTACCGTCGAGAGAGAGAGAGAGAGATATATATATATCGTTCGCGATAAAAATATCCAAGTATTTTCCATCTTCCTTCGTGACAACAATTAATAATACCAGTAAATGAAAGATCAATGACCCGACAAGAATATTTGGAGCTTTACCTTCAAGTATATATTTGATAAAAATGAGTGAGCACATATGTCTCGCATGCGCGTTCTTCGCACAAGTTACTAAAGCTACAAAAGCCACTAAAGAATATTGTGGACTATACTATATTTTCTATGATTTTACGAAAATGAATATCCAATCACACCGTAAAACAATCACCACGGAATATGTATCATCAGAGTGAATTCGATTGACCGCACTCTACCGATTGTACACTGGTAGGTTAAATTTTCGTGTGTGTAGCACCACGTATACTAATCTAGGTTGTTATATCTAGTCTTCATGTAACAGCTTTGCAGTCAATTTAAGCAGGTCGGGGACCCTACGATGCGGTGCTACAGACCACCTCTCCCGCGGCTCCTCTTACATACATCGCAAGCTTTTCGCGGTGAATCGCTTTTGGGTTAACGCGTCAGTAAAGTCTAGACAGTGATTCAAGTAACTCGACTGATTGCCTTTTCGTTATCGTACGGGTAGTGATAGATTGTTTGAATTTAAATTTACAATGTTACCTTTCTCACGATTTTTCTGATATATAGCAAAATATCAAGTCACGTCAAGACAGTTGTTGATGAGTATCAGTGCAATTCTGAACTACTTGATCACATATATATTCCGATATTAAATGGGTTTTCCAAAATTTACATTTCCATCTTATCATGTGTCATCAATGTGGCAACTTAAAAATTTCTGATCTTATATTTACATTTCGGACTGTTTGCCTTAAATTTAAAGAAATATTTCATTTCACTTTCAATAATACGACAGTGACTTTTAATGATATTTTTTCTGATTCAAAAAGTCATTGTTTCTATAGTTATTTTTTGTGTTTATAATTGCAGTAACTGCAGTATTTTACGCGTAACAAACGTAAATGGCAAAAAGTGTACATGAAAAATTGACTTCTAATGACGTAATATGTATGTGTATGAAAATACAGTTTCTAACAGTAAAATGAAGTATATATTGTTTGATATAAAACTGGATTTCGGAAGAGCAATAATTTAATTGCATATATATGTGTATATATACATATATATGTGTATATCACTGAAATATATAACTAACTGGAAACGTGCGCTGCTGTAAAAATTCACGGTAGGCAAGCGATATGAGAGAGAAGTCCCAAGTTCCTCTCTTCTCCTTGTCTAGCCCACAGCGTAGTTAAGAGTGGGAAGGGGATGGAGTGGGAATGAGTATAGGCCGATCAAGAAGACCAGACAAGGACAAGGTGCTCGAGACACCTTGGCATGCTCTCTCTCTCATATCGCACAGGCAGGCCTCTAGCTCGCCTTCCAGTTAGTATATATTTCAATGGTGTATGTATATATGAAAGGAAGAAAAGATGACGCAGAAGAAGAGGAATGTAGAATCCAACGAGGTCTGCACAAATTTTTATCAATCCTATACATTAATACAAAAATATATATATATATATATATTTTTAATTATTATCATTATCAGCAGTACGGTCCTATATTATATGTGAACCTTCGCTTACTTATTGGTTTCGTTACAGTTATAATTTTTATGAAAAAGACAAAGAGAGAGTTGTAAGCTCAATCTCCATTCTAAACAACTGGATTTATTTTGAAATTTATTTATTGTTATTATTTAAAGATTTCTCTCTATTCCCAAGAGACAACACAGTATCGCGATTTATCCGCAGTTATCTTAGGATTAAGTTTATGTTTCGAGTACTTTCGTTTGTATCACAATGTAAAATTTTTTCCTATTAAAAATTTTTAGTGTCAAATATGGAGGATAGTAAATTGTATACGAATCTTTTGCTTGACAAATAACTGCTCTAATATTGAACTATCACGTAAAACATCCTTGTTGCTTAAACTAATAATAATAATAATAATAATAATAATAGATGTAGGAGACTATTCTCCCGATGAAAATCCGCCTGGTCTCAGAACTTATTATGCTTTCATGTAAAATACCCTAAATAATAAAACAATAAAATAAATAAAAAAAGTACAAGGTCTTTTCTTCTTTAATCTAACTTATTTATTTAATGTAACTTAAAGAATAAACTCGTACACAAAATTTGGCGCAATATGTATGTATTTTAATCAATAAAAATGTACTCACTGAAGCGCACATAAATTTTTAATAACATAAGCAAAGATATAAGCTGCATCATTCGTGTGCAATTGATTACACGCACATTTTTATATAAAGATAACGCATGTTACACAATTCTTTTAGAATCAATACATAAAAAATAAGAAATAAAATGCACAAGAAGAAAAACCTATAGATGAAAATAAGAGGTGCCAAACACGGCAATAGAACAAGAAGCGAGAGCGAGACAAAAGAGACGAAATTAACGAGCAGGAGGGGATAGAGATATTCGTCTCCTCTCTCCCGTATCAGCAGTTAACACTCGGTCTCCTCGTGACCGCTCGTGACGTTTGTGTGGCAATCGCACCGCTCAGTACAGTCGCATTTTCGTAACTCGTCGTTTCTGCATGGCACATGTGCGTCTTACGCATGCTAAAACTTTGGAGATACCTGCAGCAAACAAGTGTGTGGTGCACGCAGCATTTCCGCTGTACGTAACTTCGCCCGATGTTGCTGCCTCTGGCCGACGATCGTCGATAACGAACAAGTGGAATTATCAGTTTAGCTTAGCAACAGCAGTAACAGTAACACCAGCAGCAGAAGCAGCAGCAGTAACAACAACAAGAACAGCAATAATAACAGCAACGGCAATAGCAATAGCAATAGCAGCATGCCGACTACGAGAGTACGTGTGTACTTGAACAAAGAAAATAGCCGTAATCTCGAATCTAAAACGTAATGTGAACAGTGCCGAATTAAATATAAGCCGAGGAAAAGACCCATTTCGAGCTTTCTGTTTTAATTTTTTCAGGCGTTATCTCTATTACGCGCGGAATGTTTCTAACTTGGTCGTCTAAAATATTTTCGTTGTTACTTGCAGGACGGAAAAACGTGTGTAAGAAAATAATTTGATTCACATTTTAATTTCTTTTTTATTCATTTTTTCATGTCATCACAGTGGCAACAAAGGCATTCAAATGTAGATCAAATTAATAAAGACTATATAGTTTCTGTACACAGGTTTCTTATAATCTTTTCCTTGTCTTAAATTTGTGAGAAATTCTCAAGTACAAGCTGTACAAGTAATTAAGTAAATATGTGTAATACGCTCCTTCTCGGCTGTAAATTTGCATTCTTAATCTCGAAATAATGAACACGAGCTTTGTTGTGTAATTGGAATATCGTCAATTGACGTCACGATTATTTTTTAATCACCCAACATGCGTGAATCTTATATGAGCAATAAGACTGAAGAGATTAGTCAAACAACTAACATTCCTGCGATCGTTATGTCAACAATCGTAATTGATCTAACGTATTGTATTAAATTTGCGTGCTGACTCTAATCGATTCTTTTCTCTTCTCTCTATCACGATTTTTATATCGAACGCTTTTGTTCGTTTTTTCTGTCGACGTTGCGTACCCTTAACTTGATTTCCAAATCGTCAAGAAGGAAGAGGAAAAGGCGGTCGACCTCGCGCCCAGACAGGTTATCGTTTTCAAGCACGTTACGTTAGCAAGCACGCGCGACGTTTACACAACAGACACAACTGCATTGGGCGTTCATTATCTTTCCCTATATATACCACAGATTCTCAAGCGTCTTACGTAAATCATTATACGTGTCTTATTATAGGGCTAACTGCTCTATTTTTCGAGATATACAGTGTTAATTATAACCCTTTCGGTACGGAGAGTCAGTCACTGTTCATACGTTTATACGCATCTATTTTTCTACTTACACAAAGTGGAGTTATTACAAAATCATTATACCGCTCGCTGCAGCCGAGCAACTGGAAATGTTAAATTGAAATGTTTCTGTTAATAACTTTTTTTAAATGTTTTTTCTCTCTCCGGCCGCTCCGTGTACCAAAAGGGTTAAAAAATATATATTTTTAAGCAACAATAAAATGCAATAAATATTGAATATATCATTCATCTTTTGTGTGTCATATTACAGGGTTCCGGGTACTTGAAGCGTGCGAATACTGAACGCCTCCATGAAATTTTTAATCAGGTAAACAAACGAAAAATGCTTGTTAAACGAAAAAATAAGTTATTAGGAATATGCTTAAATTTTTCTAGCGATTTTTACAAAAATATTTAAACAATTTAAAAAATTTACCATTATCTTTGATGAAATATTAAATATTTTTTTCTTTTTCTCTCGACCAGTTTATGCGCTATTTTTCTGAAGATATATCCCGTCGTTAGAAATTATTCAAGTTTTAAAAAAGTAAATTAAAATCATTGAAAATTCCGCGTATATCTGCAACATTTTACATTGTTATCTTAAAACTCAATATTTGCAATATCATTTGTATTAGATATATTATATTCTTATTTCTTTGAATTTCTCTTGAAAATACCTGCATAGAATTAATTTATTCAATTTCTTGATTATTTTCAATTACTTGTAGTAAATAATTGTTTTAATTTTTATAAGTTTATATTATTAATATCTGTTGTGTGTATGTGTGTGTGTAAGTTTGTATATATGTGTAGTAAGTCAATACTTTTTTCGTGATTTTACAGTACGCTTCGCAAGAAAAGAATGGCGAGAGGTTCATGACTGCGTCTGATTTTGTACGCAGTTATCTTGGCCTTTACACAGATGCCGATTATAATCCCGATTCTGTCAATTTACTTGCTGGTATTGTCGACACTAGCAAAGATGGGTAAGTCACATACTGACGGGACATTTGAAAAAGATACTACACTATATTGTGTGTACATAGTTTGTAATACCTCATTGAAATATTAATTATTAAATACAAATATATGTAAAATTATTTTTCCTAACGCGAGCGTGAAATGGGCCGCTTTTCGCGTTTGTTTTGAGTGAGCAAAACGATCCATTTCGATCATTTCTCTACTAGTTGAAAAATGGAGCCATTTCTCAACTAGTGGAGAAATGAAATTGTAAAACAAGCGCGAAAAGCGGCCTGTTTCACGCTCTTGTTAGGAAAAATAGTATGAACAACTCGTGGGAAGAGTGGTCGAGCCCAAATGAGTGTGATGGTCGCACTCATTCAGAATCGACCACTTTTCCCACTAGTTGTACAATATACTATTTCTTTTTTACATATTCCATTAGTTTTTAAAAAATTTTTTTCTTTGTGTATGTGTGTGTGTGTGTAGAATTTGACTTGTAGCTAATTTATGATACCTATAACAAACACTTCTTACAATGGATGATAATATTAATAAATATTTATAATTGACATGATTTTATTTCAGACTTATATCATTTGCCGAATTTCAAGCATTTGAAGGTCTTCTCTGTGTACCAGATGCTCTATATAAAACAGCTTTTCAACTCTTTGATACTAATGGAAATGGAATGGTTGCATTTGGTAAAAACTATTATATAGAAATTGTTTTTTTTTTCTAAATTACCTAAATTTTTTTCTAAATGTCCCCCTTTATATGGTTGTATATTATCGCCAATCTGCAGACGAGTTCGCTGAGGTGATGCGGAAAACTGTACTGCATCAGAAAATGCCATTTCATATGGACAGTAGTTTTATAAAACTCTACTTTGGAAAGGATAAGAAAAGACTGATTACCTATGCAGAGTTTAGTCAGTTTTTGCATGTGAGTATTTTGTTCTTGATTACGGATTCGTTTGTTATTTTTGCCCAGGAAATAAGTATGACGTAACAAGTGATAATGATTATGAAATATGTACATGGTGCCGTATGTTTATTTTGTCTTTCACAGTGAGGTATAATATGCAATTTGATTGAGATATCTTGAAGATTCGTGAAGTAACGTCTATTTTGTTCCAAAATATTTTCCATATATATTACGAAATAATTTGTGCATCCTTATGTAGAAAATGATGATAATTTTAAGGAAACCGATTGTGTGATGTGTGTGCAACATGTGATGTAAATAAGATTTTATGCTAAAAATACTTTGTTTTTAGGATTTCCATGAAGAATATGCAATAGAAGCTTTTAAGAAATTTGATAAGGATGGCGCAGGTTTTATTTCAGCGTTAGACTTTCAAGACATTATGCTGAGTATTAAGAGTCACCTACTCACAAAAGATGTGAAGGATAATCTGATTGCTGTAGGTATTATCTGGAATAGAAGACTTTATAACTTTACAACTAAATCTTTATAACCACAATTCACGAAATTTGTGTGAAAATGAACACATAAATAAATTATTTAAATTACACGTGCTTGAAATATTTGCTAATTGCAAATTAATAATTATATGAGATTATAAGATTAATTTTTTTCAATTATTTTAATATAAAGTAGTATTAAAATATATTTCAACGCTTAACGCATATGGTGTTACATAATGAACTTTATTTTTATATTGTAGGCAGTTGGTGTCGGACAAAGCGGGCGGAAAGTCAGTTTTCCATACTTTATGGCATTCAATTCTCTTCTAAACAATATGGAACTTATTAAACGTATCTACTTAAATGCGACCAATGGTCATAGGTATCAAGAAGTTACCAAAGGTAATCTATTCTAAAGAAAAATGTGCAAGATATATGTTTTTTTTCTTTTTCCTTGCTGTCAATGTGTAAAAAATTGCACGAAAAAAATTAATAATCTTTTGAGTTTAATAATATAATCAATATAGTACGGGTGATAAATATGTTTAATCAGCAGCTCTTACATTAATTTCAATCACACCACAATGTTTAGTGATTTCCATTAATTAAATAGATATTGATAGAATTTATCGTCAATATTTAACCATTAACTTTTTTGTCAGAGGAATTTCTTTATTCTGCACAAATGATGTCCCAGATAACCCCATTGGAAGTAGATATCTTGTTTTATCTTTGCGATTTACTTCATCAAACTGGGTAAGTATTACCGATTCAACATTGAAATCGAAAATAGAATATTTTTTTTTTGTTGGTTGAGTGGAAGAAAATTATATGAAATAAAGCAATCGCTTTGAGCACATTGATCCTAACAAAATATTCAGGGTTTATTGATTAAAAAGCAATCCACGCTGCTCAACAAGACAAAAAAGAGAACAAGTTATGTAAAAGTATCGTTGCACCATCAAGCACATCGTCATCATCCAAATGTCAAGTATGTCTCGTTCTTGGCAATGAAAAATGACACTAATTCTAGCGATTCATTCCTAATAGCCTTATATACCTACAATGCATAATTATATATTAATTTCTAATATTTGAATAATATTGAGACATATTTCCTACACTGAAAACATTTATTTACGTGTTTACGCTGCCTGGATCAGACCTACGGAAGATGACGAGGCAGATTCGCGGCTTGGGTGCGTCTTTGTATTACAGATCATCATGTGCTATAAATATATATATC